CAGTCCTTCTTATTCTCTCTCCTTCCATCCTCCCGGAACCTGGGGTGTGCGTGGGAGGTTGAGAGGGAAGAGGAAGAGGGAAGGGATCTGCGTGGGAGAGGCGGGAGCGGGTTACCATGGGGATGAGAGAGTAAGGCCCACGCTAGGTTATTTTGGTCTAACTTTATCAGTGTCGGCGGGACCAACTGAGCTATTAAAGTGGTGCTCGGGTGTATATAGGGCCTCCTGTGCCGTACACTCAGTTGCCGACGAGTGGTTCTTGTTACAACATATGATTGGTCACTTGGTTATCAAAAGTTTTCTTCTTCCTTTTTATGGCCTATGATTGGATCTTGTGTATGCTTGTATAGCCCGGATTGGTCCTTAGCGTACAGTTGCCAGCGAGTGATTTTATTGGTTATGTCTTGATTGGTCTCTAGTTTGCTGGGTTATTATTTAAGTTCCCTGCGATTGGTCACTTGCTTGCCGATGTTTCGATTTTACAATCCCCCGATTGGATCCTTTTCCTGAGTTTCCTTTGAGTAGTTTTCTTGATAATTTTTGATTGGACGATGCAGTCAGAGCCTATAATTGGGCCTTAGGTTATCAACTCGTAAGTCATAAACCCCGCCGATTGGCTGGTAGGGTCCCGACACATAGTTTATGTCTCTCTGATTGGTATGATCCACAGCAGCCAATTATTTATATCCTAACCTTTGATTGGACGGTGAATTGCCGGCTCACAGTTGATACGACCTTTGATTGGCCAGTGGACTTCAACTTCCCGCCCACCCACCCACCCACGTCGTCTGTACCCACGAACACCAGATCTTGACAGTCTCACCCTGATTCTTGGGGTGTTGCCACGAACTCGGGTGTGCGGCGGCCGAGTGGATACAGCGTTCTCATCCTATCTTCAGTATTACTGGTTTGCTGTCGGGGCACCCTTATACCACCCAGTTGTGAATAGGTACCTCAGTTTACAGTTGGGGAATTGAAGGAGGTCGAGTGCATTGCCGGCCATGTTGTCTTTTTGTGTATCGAAGGCTTAGTGTTCAGTGCGCTAACCTAACCTAACCTAACCCAACATAGCCTAACCAAACCTAATGATTGAAGAAGTTACCTCCCCTCCCCTATCCATCATCCCCTTCCCCCTCCCCTATCCATCATCCCCTTCCCCCTCCCCTACCCATCATCCCCCTTCCTCCTCCCCTATCCATCATCCCCTTCCCCTCCCCTCCTCCTTCCCTCCCCCTCTCCTCCTTCCCCTCTCCCTCACAACTGAAATATTCAATAAATCTACCTAAGGAAATATTTACCGTGAGACAGAATGGCGTCTATCCACCCCACAGTCTATCGCTATCATATTTTTTTTTTTTTTTTATTTTTTTTTATAACTCGTCATATATATTTTGGGCAGAAATATCATACGAGTCAATTCTAACTGAACTAAAATAATAATTAATGAAAAATGGACACATGAGAAGGTATAGAAAGAATCGTTTAACACCCAGCATCTCTTTCTCATATGACTTAAAGACCCAAGAGTCATTTATAAGAGTGGATGAGAGTCGATTAAAATAGAGAGTTAGTTGATGGGTAGATGACGGCCTTTCTTCTTCACTCACTGAGACCTTTAAAGAGGGTGGATTGATCGGTGGGATGGAGGTGAAGTTGATTAATTAAAGGAGAGAATTGAAGGCAGTGCTCCCTCCCACCCCACCCACCTCTCTCTCTCTCTCTCTCTCTCTCTCTCTCTCTCTCTCTCTCTCTCTCTCTCTCTCTCTCTCTCTCTCTCTCTCTCTCTCTCTCTCTCTCATCCTCTCTCTGTCTCCCTTCTCATCCCTTCCCTCCTTATCTCCCTTCCTTCCTCTCTTGCTGCTCTTTCTCTCCTCCCTCCTTACACCACCAAGAGATCACCGCCTCTCGACACACACACACACACACACACACACACACACACACACACACACACACACACACACACAGTCTCTTGTCAATATAGGTTAGGTTAGGTTAGGTTTAGTTTAAAAGAATTGATTCCATTATGCGTTTTCTGTTTATTGATCACAAGTGTTAATAATGGTCTTTGTGTTGGAGGGATAATGGTCTTTGTTGGGAGTGTTGGAGGATAATGGTCTTTGTTGGGGGTGTTGGAGGGATAATGGTCTTTGTTGGGGGTGTTGGAGGGATAATGGTCTTTGTTGGGGTGTTGGAGGATAATGGTCTTTGTTGGGGTGTTGGAGGGATAATGGTCTTTGTTGGGGGTGTTGGAGGGATAATGGTCTTTGTTGGAGGTGTTGGGGGATAATGGTCTTTGTTGAGGGTGTTGGAGGATAATGGTCTTTGTTGAGGGTGTTGGAGATAATGCTTTTGTTGGGGTGTTGGAGGGATAATGGTCTTTGTTGGAGGTGTTGGAGGGATAATGGTCTTTGTTGGGGGTGTTGGAGGAATAATGGTCTTTGTTGGGGGTGTTGGAGGATAATGTTCTTTGTTGGGGGTGTTGGAGGAATAATGGTGCTGTTGGGGGTGTTGGAGGATAATGGTCTTTGTTGGGGTGTTGGAGGATATGGTCTTTGTTGGGTGTTGGAGGGATAATGGTCTTTGTTATGTTGGAGGGATAATGGTCTTTGTTGAGGGTGTTGGAGGGATAATGGTCTTTGTTGGGGGTGTTGGAGGATAATGGTCTTTGTTGAGGTGTTGGAGGGATAATGGTCTTTGTTGGGGGGTGTTGGAGGGATAATGGTCTTTGTTGGAGGTGTTGGAGGGATAATGAGTTCTGTTGGGGGGTGTTGGAGGGATAATGGTCTTTGTTGGGGTGTTGGAGGATAATGGTCTTTGTTGGGGGTGTTGGAGGGATAATGGTCTTTGTTGGGGGTGTTGGAGGGATAATGGTCTTTGTTGGGGGTGTTGGAGGGATAATGGTCTTTGTTGGGGGTGTTGGAGGATAATGGGCTTTGTTGGGGGTGTTGGAGGGATAATGGTCTTTGTTGGTGGTGTTGGAGGATAATGGTCTTTGTTGAGGGTGTTGGAGGGATAATGGTCTTTGTTGGGGGTGTTGGAGGATAATGGCCTTTGTTGGGGGTGTTGGAGGGATAATGGTCTTTGTTGGGGGGATAATGGTCTTTGTTGAGGGTGTTGGAGGGATAATGGTCTTTGTTGAGGGTGTTGGAGGGATAATGGTCTTTGTTGAGGGTGTTGGAGGGATAATGGTCTTTGTTGGGGGTGTTGAGTGGGATAATGGTCTGTTTGGGGGTGTTGAGGATAATGTCATCTTGTTGGGGGGTGTTGGAGGATAATTGTCTTTGTTGGGGGTGTTGGAGGGATAATGGTCTTTTGTTGGGGGGTGTTGGAGTGATAATGGTCTTGTTGGGGGTGGTGTTGAGGATAATGCCCTTGTTGGGGTGTTGAGTGGACAATGGTCTTTGTTGGGGTGTTGGAGGATAATGGTCTTTGTTGGGGTGTTGGAGGACAATGGTCTTTGTTGGGGTGTTGGAATGATAATGGTCTTTGGTTGGGGGTGTTGGAGTGATAATGGTCTTTGTTGGGGGTGTTGATGGATAATTACCTTGTTGTTGGGGTGTTGGAGGATAATGGTCTTTGTTGGGGGGTGTTGGAGGATAATGGTCTTTGTTGGGGGTGTTGGAGGGATAATGGTCTTTGTTGGGGGTGTTGGACAGCTACGGTCAGAAGCTGGTGGGCCATGTGGGTCAACACTGACAATGAGATCACGTTACCGACAGGTCAATTATTTGACTGATGCATCGGTCACTTTTTTGAGCAATGCAAGTGAATGGATCCGGCCCTGACAAATTTTGCTCTCTACATAAGGTCAATTTCACTTCTAAACCCAACAACTTTATGCCCTTGAAAATCTGTTCAAAGTCTTGATGTGTGTGTGTGTGTGTGTGTGTGTGTGTGTGTGTGTGTGTGTGTGTGTGTGTGTGTGTGTGTGTGTGTGTGTGTGTGTGTGTGTCTGTGTGTGTGCTTGTGTGCGACTAACGACATCATTAAGAGAACTACGTCGTTAATACTCAACGATCACTCCAGCGCCTGTAAGTGGGAGAGGTGAGAGGGCAGGGGTCAGAGGGGGTGGGAGATGAGAGGGGAGAGGTAGGTAGATAGAGGTAAAGGTGGACGAGATAAGGAATGAGGGTGAGAGGGAGAGCGAAGAGGCAGGCAAGGAAGGGAAGGAAGAAGTGAGGGAGGAGTTAGAATCATAATAATGAGTTTTAACAAGTAACAAAACAGCGTCACACACACACACACACACACACACACACACACACACACACACCTCCAGCACCGCCTGCCTCTCCCCCTTCGGTAGTGTCACCTGGTCTTTGAAAGGGAGAGAATCGAAGGTCCATTTCAGTGTAGGACAAAGGAGGAGAGGTGGCATTGTCTTGCGTCATGATGGTGCTCCTGCCTCCTGCATCCCGGACCACCTTTATATATATACTGGGATAATAACACTCGTCTTATATATAATTTTACGTCGATGACAAAACCAGTTAATAGTAAATCTCCGAAGGTGTTACCAAAGCAGAGGTGCAATTTTTGACAGATAATTCGTTTCGAGTCTCTAATGTTTAGTTTATTTTGGAATTTATGGCGACAATACACTGACGGAAATGTTGAACTGTGAATTAGATGTTTTTTGTAGAGGATATTTAAGATGACAGTTCAAGGGGACATAACTCTGAAAATGCTTGACTGTGTGTGTGGTCGAATTGTCTTGTTGACAAATATCACACATTCCTGGGTGGATTTCCCACGGCCATGAATAAGAGTAAACAGCTCTCTCATACTCTTGTCTCTGGCGTGATTTTGATTTGAAGGTGATTACTGAGCTACAGTACATAGTGTATATTGAATCCTGAGATGATGTAGGTGTGAAGACGGATAATACCGGGTAATAAGTTGTGCCGGGTAATAAGTTGTGTTTTAAACCAAGACATAAACAATGTTAATACTGAAGTTGTATGTATATATTATAATGTGTGTTTGTTGTGTTGCAGGTGCTGGTGACAGGATGAGGCTAAAACGCAGTGCAGAGACCGAGGCGCCCGCCGCCCCGGAGACTGTGGGGGGCCCTGAACCAGGTGTGTCCTGTGTCCTACACCACCCCTCACCCTCCTAAACCCTGGAACCAACTGTGTCCTGCATCATCCTACGCCCTCCCATACCCTCTCACGCCATCCCTCCACACCTTCCATCACCACGGTGTGTCTCAGCCCATCAGAATATCCCCTCAGGAATAAGGTACACCCACGACCCCTCCCTCCTGAGTGGCCAGATGACCCACTCACGGGTTCTCGGCAGTAGTTCCCAGCCTCTCAGCAGTAAGCTTCAGTGGTTCCTACGGCTAAGCAGCATTGAGAAGGAGATAATTTATTACCTCTGGTCTCACTGTGATACTAAGCCTCCCCCTCCCCTCCACCCCCACCCCCTTTTACTTCCCTTCCTCCCCCCACCCCTCTCTTACTTCCCTTCCTCCCCCTCCTCTCTTACTTCCTTCTCCCCACCCCTCTCTTACTTCCCCTCCCTCCTCCCCTCCTCCCCCACCCCCCTTTCCTTACTCCTCCTCCCCAGACCCCCTCCTCATTCTTCCCCTCCCTCTATTCTTACCTCTCATTCTCCTTCACACTCTCCCGTCTCTTTTTCTTCCCACCTCTCCCTTTCTCTCTATTCCCTACTCTGATACCGTGTCTCCCTTACCACCATCCACTGTCCCACTTTGTCACCTCCCCATCCTCCTCCTCCCCCCCTCCTCCTCCTCCCCCTCCCCTCCCCTCCCCCCTCCCCCCTCCCTCCTCCTCCTCCCCTCCTCCTCCTCCCTCCCTCCCTCCTCCTCCTCCTCCCCTCCTCCTCCCTCCTCCTCCCTCCCTCCTCCTCCTCCCTCCTCCTCCTCCTCCTCCCTCCCCCTCCCCCCTCCCCTCCCTCCCCTCCTCCTCCTCCCTCCTCCTCCCCCTCCCCTCCTCCCTCCCTCCTCCCCTCCCTCCTCCCTCCTCCCTCCCCTCCTCCCCTCCCCTCCCCCCCTCCCTCCCTCCCTCCCCTCCTCCCCTCCTCCCCTCCCTCCTCCCTCCTCTCTCCCTCCCCCTCCTCCTCCTCCCCCTCCTCCTCCTCCTCCTCCTCCTCCTCCACCCTCATGAATGTTTGTACAGCTTAATGTCTCACACGCTGTTTATATCCCCTCCACCACCTCCACCACCACCACCACCACCACCACCACCATCATCACCATCGTCATCAGTACCACCATCATTATCATCACTACCATCACTATCACCACCAGTATCATCACCACCACCATCATCACCACCACTACCACCACCACCATCGCCACCACTACCACAATCATCACCACCACCACTTGTGTTAAGCTTACCATGGTCCACAGATCTCAAAGGCTCATACATTATTGTTGTTTTTTTCACTGTAGACAAAATTCACGAGGAAAATAATTATAAATATTATCAAGTCAAAATAATCATGAAACAATCAATTATTAGTATTTTTTTTTATTCAAATATTATATAAATTGCTGTAAAAACTATCCGATATTTAGCTAAGTGGTCGATGACGTCACAAGAGTGGTTGATGACGTCACGGGAAGGCGGAAGGAACGAGGTCCCTTATCAATCGTATAACTTAACTGACTTTATTAGTGTTATCTATTGATTAATTTTTCTTAGGGTTATTATGTTATCAGTTGTAAGATAAAGATAACATTACTGAAGTCTTGTCACGATTTAGTGTCAGTTCAGATAATTTTTATTAATAGTATTTATAATTTCCCGAAGAAAAACTACCGCCGTTGCCTCTTTTAACACTTATGGGAGAAATATATCGTATTAACCTTTGAGAATCTGGACACTGGGTATCTGTGTTTGTGTTTGTCACCGCTACAGGAATAAGCACAACCTATTTCCACATTTCCAGATATTTACTTCAGGGGAAACGTGACCAACCCCCCATTTCCACGTTTCCATGAATATTTACTTAAAATACTCAGAGTTACCCTAGTGTGTTGAGGAGCAAAGTGCAGAGGTTACACATCTCTCTCTCTCTCTCTCATAATGTTCACCTGTTGTCTTCCTGCACGTTGCTCCTCAGCTCTGTCAACTAACATTATACATGAATCACTAAAGCCTAGATGTTGACACAGTTTGACCTACCCACAGTCCTGCCCACGTCTAACTAATGGGGAGTAATGAGCCAATGGAATCTATCATATACGAAAATTTTAACTTACCTGTGAGGCCAGACCAGACACACCTGTATCTAACGACTGTGTGGATTAATACCAGACACGTAGATTTGTTTCTTTATTTTAGCTTGATGTTATCTTGAGGGTTAGAAGGTGTTGTTGTGGTCCCTGACTGCCCTATAGCAACCTGTGGTCATGTGAGGGCCAGGCCAGAGGATAGTGGGCAGAGGTGAGTGGGTAGGTCAGGTCCTTAGACTCGGGTTAGATTGTTCCCCCCCCCAAAAAAAAAGGATAGAGCAAAGTAATTAATAACATAATCTAAACCATGTAGTTGTTGCACCATAGTTGATAGGGACATGTATGTGTGTGTGTGTCTGTTACAGCTCACGTTGCACTGCACAGCTTCTAGTTCTAACTACTATAAAGATATGACAAGTTATTTATTTACTGACTTATTCACAAGTAAACATAACCTTGGTTCCATCACAGGGCTTAATAATACTTGTATGTGTGTCACAGCACCGTAGCACAGCTTGTGGGTTATAACTACTACGGAGAGAGACACTTTATTTACAACTTAACCCCATCTATGTAGCTCCCTCGCCATAGTTCACAGGGGTGTGTATGTATGTGTGTCAGTCACTTGCACCATTGCACAGCTTGTGGTCGTAGGAACATGGTGACGCACACTCATCTTGCACCTCTTCTGCACTGTTTTAATTTGTGTGTCTTTTTTCTTCTTTATTCGATAATTTTAGAAAACATCACGGAGGGACCCGGTAAGTTACTCTGTTTTTGCTATGTTTACTTAACTCTGTCTGTTTGTCTGTCTGTGTTTAGTCTACTAGAATATTAGTATTAAGTTTATTTTTTTCTTCATTGTTTATGATAATAATTACCATAATAGTTCATGTGTCTTTTAGTATTAAAAAAAAATTAATAGAAATTTGTTATCTTTGGAAGGTAAATAAATTCCCGTAGTTGATATACATTTTAACTTTAAATTTCAAAGATATTTTTCATGCATGTTGAATATTGTATAATAATTATCATAGTATTTCAGAGCTTCACAGTTATATTACCGGAAGGTTTAACTCATATTGTTCACAAGTTTCCGGAGCTTTGTGCCTCACTAACTTACAGTACAGTACAGGGATTCTTAACACCTTAGCTACGTGGTTAATATCCCTCCTAACTGATGATGTGAGAAAGACCGTAACTGATCGACTTAAAGCAAAACACATAAAAAAATCGTTTAAAGAAAATAACATAAGAAAATAACACTGACTTCACCTTAACAAGATTATTTCACTTAGGAGATAAGATTAAAGTTAAGGATATGTGTTAAATATTCCTCCCCTCATGTTAATATTGTCTCCTAATTTACGATCTCAGTGTTATTTCAATGGTATTTTTTGGGGGGCGTTTATTTTATGGCTCTGCTTATGTCAACAGGTTAGGTCCGCCTTGACGTCTTCAGTTATGAGGTAAATTCACCCCAAGAATCTGGAACAAGTTTGAGAATAGGAGTATATCAACTGAGTCAAATTAGCATCTAGATTTAAACAATATATATATTTATTTTATTATATACAGTGATAATCTTCCCTTTCTATATCCAAGACCTTTTATATCACTATGTTCCTCACCCCCCAAAAATATATATAATAATAATAATAATAATAATAATAATATATATATTTCCCAAGTCCTTAGAACCTCCTTGATCACACATATACCTGCTTAAACTGGTGCCTTGTTGCCAGATATACATACAACAGGTACAGGTGGCTTCTGATTGGTTGATTGGCTGATCACTATGATTACGTACGAGACGCAGGTAAACAATGGCACGCAAGAGCAAGGTATAAATCCTCTCTCGTGTTCCATATGTTTGTTTTGTATCTGACCCGATTCCCATTGGTGAGTGAATTAACCAATCCGACACCATCGTTAAGCCAGTAAGATACCTGTTGTCTATAGATATGACAATAGGGCGGCGAGTTTAACACTATAATGGGTATAAAAGTCCTAGCCAGCAGGATCAGTAAAACAAAACACAGTCGACATTCACAATAGATAATTGATTCTTAAAAAAACAACAACAAAGTCAGTTCGAGTAACAATAGGAACAACACACGAACACAGCTTGACGCTTTGATTAACCCACAAAACAAAATATAATCGACTAACTGTTGACACGATAACAGGAGGTAATGTAATGTGTAGTATGTGGGTGATGGTCGACCACCTTAACTGCCTCAAACATGCAACGTTAGGTACACATTCACAGCTGGGATCACTGGGAGTGCCCGCATTTCCACATTTTGTTAGATTTTGTTATCATAGAAAACTAAACATTCAAGTTTGCCTCACGTAAAAAATACTAATGAGATAAAGAAAGTATTTTAAGTCTAGACACAGACATAGCGAATAGTTCAGTGACTGTATAACCCAGACATAGCTGAGCTGAAACTAAAAGAGTTAATTAATGTTTAGTTAAATATGGAAAAGTAATTTTGGTGACCTTATAAACAGACATAGAAGACATACAACATTAAGACAAGTTAGAGAGTTAACCACACACACACACACACACACACACACACACACACACACACACACACACACACACACACACACACACACACACACACACACACACACACACACACACACACACACACACACACACACACCTGCTGCTGCTAGGACCGGCCCTCCCTCACCCCTGTAGCCCAACAAATATTGCACCGGTATTTCTTTCATTTTGTATATTATAATTTGTAGTTGTCATACAGTACTGTAGTGTAGATAACAGTTTTAGTTTAATCTTATGACTCATTTTTTACTTATGTATATATGATGGATAATTTTCTCTGTACATGATATATATTGAAATATAGAAGGTTTTTCATACACCCTACGTCTATGAAATGTCATCAGGCATTCCTTTGTATGATATTTTTTAAATACTTTTTTTTATGAAATTTGGTTTAAAAAATTAAATTTGTAAAGAAAATTTACTGTATTCGGACAAAAAAAATTATGTATAAAACATAGGAAAAATTATTTTATACATTACAAAGATGTATTATTAGTTTATTTTTTCACATTACCCAAAGGATTTTTTGAGGAAGGATAAACCGACGTATGGTCTATGGATCAATAGTTATATATATGTATGGAGGGGATGATTTTAGGGATAACTCATGTACTTTCTACTCATCTTTATTTTTTTTCTGAAAGACCTGGTGATGCCGATTACGGAGGCGAGCGGTGAGTAGCGAGGGAGGAAGAGGTGGCCGCAGCCTCACTCCCTCTCACACTGACTCTAACTCCTTTTACTAACTGTTCGCACTTCTTCTGCCAGTACTCAGCATCTTGTGTGTACTCGAGGGCCTGGTGAAGGGATCCTCTTGAGTCCTGACCTTCACTCTTAATCCACACACTCTTCGCTCTAACCCGTGACGTCAATGTAACGTATCCAACAACGTCGTGGACGATACGTTTATCACACGTCACTGGCTGTGATCAAAGTGTGTATGAGTGTGTGTCTGTCAAGGCTGGAGTGTGTCCCCCGCCTGCAGGACCCAGTAACCATCGGCCGTGTATGTGCACCTGGGCGGCAGTTGGCTTGAATCTCGCAATTTTTTTCTCCTTGCTCAAGCGACTCAGCATGCATGTTGTTAATACTGCCAGCTTGCGCCAGGCTATAGTCAAGGGGAGGGAGGGCGGGGGGAGGTGGAGTATAAGGCAGGCTGTCTAGTGTGTCACTGACCCGTAAGTACTATAAAGCAGCGCTCCTGCTAGCACAACTTCAGTCTGACTTAGTATCCCCTTGGGTAGGAGGGGAACACCAGGCGCTATTGATTGCTCGTGTTGGGGCTGACCTTATGGTACAAGAGTAAAGAATATTCTTGTGTTTGTCACTGTAGCCATCATGTCTTCAGCGAGAATCGTTAATAGGGGGGTGGGGAGGGGGGCTTAGCTGCAGTCAGTGCCTAAGAAGCTCAAGTTGTTTTAGGAGTTCTGGAAGCCTGAACATTATTTTGTTTCTCCAAAGTTTCCAGTCTCTTCAACAGCTCCCAGATTTATTACGTCCTTTATCAGCTCCTGAAGACCCACAATTCCTGAAGCCATGAAAACTGCTCAACTTTTAGGAAGTTTCCAGATTTCTGGAACTTGGAGCTGCAGGTAGTTTTGGAACTTTAGACTTTAGGAGATTCTCTAACTTATGGAACTTCACATCTCCGTCATTTTTTAGAGTTCCAAAATTAATAAAATTTAATTAAGTTTAAGAGCCGCGGGAGCTTCTGGAGGTTTAGGATTTTCTGAAACTTTTTGAATATATGAATTTCTGAAGGTTCAAAGTCCTTGGAGGCTTGAATTATTCTGGAACTTTTAGGATTTTCTAAATCTTTGAGAGATATTATATTTCTGTAACGTTGAGAACCATGAAGAACTTCGGGAACTCTTAACAACCCGAGAGCTTCTGGAGGTTACAGTGTATGTGACGCCCAAAGTTTTGTAATTATAATACGTTACGGGAGTCTTCAGGTAATACAACACCCAGTACAGTAGTTGCTGGGATTCAGTGATTTAGGGAACTTGGAGAGTTTGAAAGGTTCAAGAATCTCTGGGCATTTAATGAGCTGTGATGTTTCTGCATGTTCGGGATCTCCGGAGCTGTTGAAGCTTTAAATGTGTCACGAGGCTGAGGAGCTTCATAGTCTTTACTGTCTTTGAGGGTTTAAGTTCTTGAAGCTTCTGAAGGATTGGAGACCACAACTTGAAGTGCTTCTGGGTCTTTAAGATTCTCCGGGTCTTTAAGATCCTTTTAAACTTCAAGAGCCTCTGAAACTTCGAAAGCCCCAATTCTTCTTGAGTGAAACTTTGAGAGCTTCAAGACCTCCCGGAGTATTATAACTTGTGGAAGTGAAGGGTTTTCAAGCCTTAAGAGCTTCTGGGATTTTAGAGCCTTTGGGGCTCTATGAGCTTTAAAATAATGAAACTTAGGCAGATGGTGGAGCTTGTAAACCATGTAGAGCTTAGACTATCAGGTGCCTGAAAATCGCCAAGAGCTTCAAGTAGTGCTTCAAGACGTGTAGGAAGCTGGTGAAGCTGCGTGGGCGAGATGTTGATGTTTAGGTGTGTGTTGGTAACAGCCGTGGCTTAGTACCTGGATCCGGGTTCTCTCTGTTAAACATCCGTTCATCTATGTATCCTTCGGTCTGTTTTTCTACCTATCAGTCACTATCTTAACCCCTGGCTGGGGATAATAAAATGCATCTACATTCAATATTGTCTCAGTTTAATTTTGTCATCATTTTATCAGTCATTATTTTGTGTCGTAGTGTGAACCAAGTAGATGCAGTCTCACGCCTCCAGCTAGGGTAGAAATTATATCTTACGAATCTTTGAGAATCCGGGTCCTGACTTTTCGATGTTTACATATGAGAGGAGCTTGGTAGTAGTAGACTAACCGACCCGGTCTGTAAGTGACGTTATCGTTGAAACCAGTTGCCCGCTCTTAAAAGTAATAACAAAAATATATTTTTTCAATAAATATTTTTTTGATATTATTGTATATTTTTCCCCATATTGTATAGTTTCCATATATTCGTCTCGTTTATAGAAGTATATGAATATTGACATTTTTTCCTTATCTGCATGAATTTATTTTTTAATGTTTTGATTTTCTGCTCTTATGACATTTTCTCTTAAAAAAATATATATTTCTCTAGATTTAAAGATTTCCTTCAAACTTTCATGTTTCTTTTTTACCGTAGAGAAAGGATTGTAATTTGCACAACCACTCCAGCCCCCCCCCACCCCCCACCCCCGCACCTCCTCAAGGATAATATCCCCCCCCCTTTTGAACATAATTATAACATATATGTATCCATGCATAAAATATTCCCCGTTATATGAATTTATCCTTGTACTGTATATTTCACTGGTGTATTTTTGCGCCTCTTGTATGACGTCTTCTGTATATTTCCAGGCCGAAGTTAATCATACAGAAAAATCTCGAGAAATATAACCTAACCTAACCCAACCTAAATTAAAGCGAGAGACAACGTTACGAGATGTGTATGTATGATTACCCACGGTGTGATATGTATACCGTTTGTACACCGTTATGTATTATGCCCTGTTTATACCCCACCTTATGTATGACCACTTCAGTTTATTTGTTTTGTGTTATTTATTTATTTATTTATTTATTCTGTTCGTGGATGTTGTGTGTCTGTTTCTCGAGTACGGTGAGAGAGAGAGAGATTTGGTTAAAATGAACATGGCACATTTCTCTGTGACCTCTTATGATCTTTCGTGACGTCTTATGATAATGCTATAGACCGATAGAGAGACACGAATTGAGAGACAAAATGAGATATATTACGATAGATAAGTTCTAGCAGATCGGTGGTGTGTGTGTGTGTGGCAAGTAAAGGAAGGATAGAGTAATGATAGCGATGGTGACGCCACGTTTCTTACGGCGGCCACTACAACTAAGACCAGGTTGATTGATACGTTTATTGAGATACAAAAAAACATTAATACATCTCAAAGGGATGAAATCTAAGACCAGGTGGCGGCCATAACTCGATCCCTTATTAACAACAGGTTCTTAAAGACGGAGTGTATGTTAAATATTCTATGTAACCGAATATAAATTAATGTACCTAACATGAAAATTGCATCTACATTTTACGTAATCTAATACGTTCAAACCAATAAGGAGAAAGAATTAACTTTAGAAGAAAAAATCATTAGAAAGATACTGTACCGTGATTTTCTTCGGTATTAAGTGAACGCATCTGGATAAAGAAAAATCCTAGCGGTTAGTCGGACAGTCAAAAAGCGTAAACAAAGAAAAATTAAAATATATATCATAAAGGAAATTATGTGAGACTGGGAGGTAGGCGGTGAGCATGATAAATAACTCTGAAGACTTACCCAACCTAATTGATTTTACGTCAAGCCAAGATGGCGGTTCCAATAATTCCCTGAGGTGACTCCGTATTGGAACCTCCTCACAGCGTCTGTTTCATTGTCTTTTATCTATTGCAATAAAGGTTTTATATAGTATGAATATTATTTTAAATGACGTGAAACATAAAGATACTCAGCATAAATGGAATCTTGATGACGCTAAACAGAACGATGTAGCATAAATGTTTTCAATCTATTATATCGAATAATAAAAATAAATAAATGTATATATATATATATATAAATTTAAATTGAGACACAACAAAAATCGTAGTAAGGGCCAATGTAATCGAATTTCGTTGATCCTATTTGGCGTAACTTGTTCAGGTGGTATTAATGGTCTTACCTGTGTTGAGTAGACATAGAATATATAGTATAGGTAATAGTGAATAAAGGAGGCGTGAGGTGAAGTGATGACTACGTAAGAGGGAGAGAAATAAAAAAGAGAAATGGTCAGATATGGAAAGAGAAAAAGGAGAGAGAGAGAGAGAGAGAGAGAGAGAGAGAGAGAGAGAGAGAGAGTGAGTTTCCCCCCCAATAATAGTCACACGTCACACCTCCTATACCCCACGTCACACACACACACACCAGCTCCCTCCCACTCTGTTGTTATTCAGTAATATTTTTTATATCCCGTCAATATATTATTATAAGTTCTTGTTCTTGTTTTGAATTTTGTTCTTGTGATGGTATTTTTTTGTTATATTGAGTCAGTTTTTTATATTGTTATTTGTATTGTTCTTGTGGCGTTATTTTGTTCATTATTTAGGACGTTTTTATTATTATTATTATTTTTTTTTTCATTTACAGTGAAGCCTCTACTATATGGCTAGGAATGTCCGTTATATCGAGGTGTCTGTTAGATGTAAAACCTCCATTTAATAGACTACATAAAGAGAAGAGTTCGTTATATGGAGGTTACACTGTAGTTTAATCAGAGAATTCGTTTTAGTTTGGAAATTTTATTATGTGTTTGAAACTCGTACAGAATCGTATGTATGGCTGAACTGTAGATGTGTGTGAAGGCGTCGTACTGGTGGCCTTAAAATAACTAGCTCCACTGTCGTTTATTTTATGGTTTTGTAGTCTCTGTACTGACCGTTTTCTTTAATGTATTCAGTGACCGTTTTCTTTAATGTATTCAGTGACCGTTTTCTTTAATGTATTCAGTGACCGTTTTCTTTAATGTATTCAGTGACCGTTTTCTTTAATGTATTCAGTGACCGTTTTCTTTAATGTATTCAGTGACCGTTTTCTTTAATGTATTCAGTGACCGTTTTCTTTAATGTATTCAGTGACCGTTTTCTTTTAATGTATTCAGTGACCGTTTTTTTAATGTATTCAGTTTAATGTATTCAGTGACTTTAATGTATTCAGTGACCGTTTTCTTTAATGCATTCAGTGACCGTTTTCTTTAATGTATTCAGTGACTGAATGCATTCAGTTTTAATGTATTGTGTACCGTTTTCAGTGACCGTTTTCTTTAATGTATTCAGTGACCGTTTTTTTAATGTATTCAGTGACCTAATGTATTCAGTGACCGTTTTCTTTAATGTATTCAGTGACCGTTTTTAATGTATTCAGTGACCGTTTTCTTTAATGTATTCAGTGACCGTTTTTTTAATGTATTCAGTGACCGTTAATGTAATTCAGTGACCGTTTTCTTTAATGTATTCAGTGACCGTTTTCTTTAATGTATTCAGTGACCGTTTTCTTTAATGTATTCAGTGACCGTTTTCTTTAATGTATTCTTTAATGTGTGACCGTTTTCTTTAATGTATTCAGTGACCGTTTTCTTTAATGTATTCAGTGACCGTTTTCTTTAATGTATTCAGTGACCGTTTTCTTTAATGTATTCAGTGACCGTTTTCTTTAATGTATTCAGTGACCGTTTTCTTTAATGCATTCAGTGACCGTTTTCTTTAATGTATTCAGTGACCGTTTTCTTTAATGTATTCAGTGACCGTTTTCTTTAATGTATTCAGTGACCGTTTTCTTTAATGTATTCAGTGACCGTTTTCTTTAATGTATTCAGTGACCGTTTTCTTTAATGTATTCAGTGACCGTTTTCTTTAATGTATTCAGTGACCGTTTTCTTTAATGTATTCAGTGACCGTTTTCTTTAATGTATTCAGTGACCGTTTTCTTTAATGTATTCAGTGACCGTTTTCTTTAATGTATTCAGTGACCGTTTTCTTTAATGCATTCAGTGACCGTTTTCTTTAATGTATTCAGTGACCGTTTTCTTTAATGTATTCAGTGACCGTTTTCTTTAATGTATTCAGTGACCGTTTTCTTTAATGCATTCAGTGGTCATTTCTTCTTCTTCAGGGGGTTGGGATGACCATAAGTGACCAATCTCTTTAATTAATCTATACAATAATTAGTTTTTCTTCTTTTTTTCTCTGATGTGTTTGCTGTTTTAAAATATCTCTCAGACAATCTTTGCATTCGTCGGTGTTGTGGATATTTTTAGCTCTGTATCACTTGAGTCTTGACTTTGCATGGAATACATTTGTTCCGCTCGGAGGATTATACACCATTGTATATATATATATCCGCCCCCTTTCCCCAATAATATCTCCTGTTGAGCTGTTTAAGAAAGTTTTGCTATAATTCTGGTTTTTCTTAAGCAAGTTTATCTTCTACACCTATTTGTTTATTCAATTGCACTTGTTTACTATTGTTTATGATTGAGATTTACTTTCTGCACTTGCACTCTCCCGTAATACCAATTTTATTCTTCTGGTATAAACATCTCCACCCCACCCTTCCCCCTCTACCCTTAATCTCCCCTATCACCTACACACCGGCTTAAACTAAACGACTATGACCCTTTAAATGTCTATCCCTTCCCCCACCCACTTCAAGCACCCGTCAACTCCTCTTTCTTCCCCTCACTACGTAGAGACCAAAACAAAGTTCCTTACTCTTTTTACACTGCCCCACACACCTTATCTCCACTCGTATTTCTAGTCACGAAAAACAGTTCCTTGTTTTTATACAGTCTCCTTGACCTTCCTCCCCCCTCCTCCCTTTCTCCAATCACAACAGAAACTACATGGTGTACTTTTTTCCCTTTAACCGGACAAAAACTCGTTCTCTTCCTTTACCCTTTAACTACAAAAACAAAAACAACGCACTACTGTATTTCCCTATTGCTTTAAAGCGACAACAACAACAACAACAACAATATATTTGCAACTTTCCTTTAAAGAGCGCCTGAAACTACAATGGTCTCCAACAACAACACGGGATTTTATACTTTTCCCCAAATTTGACACAAAACAAATTGTTAATATTCATGAGGAAGAAGATGGCCAAGAAAATTCTACGATACTTAACCATATACCTACACTCTCCTAATGTCTGCCAAAGTACCCACTCACACCCACTCACCCAAAGTACCCACAATACCCACTCTTCCAATGTCTCCCAAGGTACCCACTCACACCAACTCACCCAAAGTACCCACTCTTCCAATGTCTCTCAAGGTACCCACTCACACCCACTCACTTAACACTCTTGTAATGTCTCTCAAGGTACCCACTCACACCCACTCTCACTCCCCCACTCACTCCCCCGCCACCCACACCTCTCAACAAACAATTCCTTAGGTGCATCTTATATTTCCCCAGGTAATGGCTCCCACTGTAAACAATTCTCCCAGATCTTTTTCTCTCTCTTTCTCTCTCTTTCTCACTCTCGCTCACTCTCTCACACTCTCATTCATGCTTCCCACAGATATGCCAGACCTAGAACCCTCCACCACGACAAAGTCAACAGGGGACATGATAAAGGAGGAGATGATGGAGACAGTGGGCACAGTCGCGGAGAATTTAGGCATGCCAGTGGAGGGCCTCATAGCTATCCTTGTGGGTGAGTACAGTGTCATCATCATCATCATCATCATCATCATCATCATCATCATCATCATCATCATCGTCTTGGTCCAATTTCGCCAAGGTGATGAGGTTTTATCCATGAAGAGTTTTAAGCCTCTGATCAAATTTTAGCGTTAATATTTTTTTTTTTGTCTGGTTAAATTTTATTAGTAAAATTTTTAGCTTTGGTCAAATTTTAGCTTAAATTTTTTGCAACCTCTCTCAGTAAGAACACTTGAGTAGTCCAAGCAGCCGTTGGGAAAGTAATAAAGTATCTCTGGTGTATATAAGTGTATTAGAGTTCGATACAGCTGGTAACATCCTTGGCCAATCAGGGGTGGTGGTGGTGGCGGGCTACACTCACGCCCTATCCGGTCTTAAGTTATTTTTTCGACACGACTGCCCTAGTCGCCCTTCGTACGCCAGCAAATTAATATACCTACGTAAAATGAGATGGACTAGAGTACCAAGTATAATTCACGATAACTTAACTAATTGAACATGAATTACAAGTACTCGCTGTAATTGTAGAATTACCTCTCTCGTGATGGCATCTATGATCCACTGACAGAAGGTCAATATTGGACTGTAGGTATTGATGGTCTGCCTGTTTTCCAATATACTATACTGATAATTTTTCCCGTGTGTTTTTATGGCATAATAAGTCAATTTAAATGAGAACTTACTGGATGTTTCTGATTCTCATACGGCGTAACGCTATCCTATAATTTCTCCATACAATATATACTACTGGCCAGAAGTTATAATATAGGGTACTTGTCCTGTTTAGAGGACCTGGATTAACGTCCATATGGTGGATCCAAGTCTCCATGTACGTCGTTAATATTTCGTAACGTTCAAGTTTCTTGAGAATCACTCTGGGCTGGCCTTGTACAGTAATTAAGTCACACTCGAGAGTCTATGACTCACGGCGTTTTGTGCCTACACACGCGTTGTGTAATACACTCCTCGGCTTCTGGATTCACATTCCTTTTCAGTTTTCAACTTTTCAGCACCTCGGCTGCACGCTTCGGTGTCTGTTAAGTACGAGGAGGAATACATGACAAGTCACGTTCTTACATATTGTTAATATTAGTACTTTAGTAACGACAAATAATACTAAACTAAGTAATTTTCAGTTAGTTACAGTACCAAACCCAAATATACTCAATTATTTACATATATACCCCTGTACATCAGTATCACCACCTCTGTCGAAATTGGTTCGATGGATTCACTTCGTTTCACTATGATCGAACCTTAAGGATCAATTTTCTTTTAGTGACGAGAGGTAATACTTCTGTGGGATTTTATATTTCCCACCCGTGTGTGTGTGTGTGTGTGTACGGTACTAAAGGCTCGTACTCTGGTAATATAACGTTAACGTTAAACCTTGAGACCTTAATATATTCCTTGGGTCTGTGGCGGGGTCGTGCAGGGATAACGGTCGGTAATATAAAGCAGCTTATAAAAATGTAATCTTTTTTCTCCTTAAATACTCCAGTACGAGATTTCTTTGGTTATATTGTAATAAGAACGAATCTGTGATAGCATTTTACTGAACGGAATATAAATGGATAGGAGTAAATGTTACCAAAATAATAATAATAAATAAATAAATAAAATGTGCAGTACAGAATTTTAATGGACCCCGTGTTCTAGCCTCCAAGTATACTTCAGGATACCTTTTATGATCTCTCTTGAGTGGAGTGCACCAGGAATTTTTCAGAGGTAAATTGAAAATGGTCAAAATGTCAAACCTGCCTCGGTCAGGTTGTATAGTACAGTACAGTACAATACCTACCACACTGCGTGCAACACACCGGTTCTACACTCCACGAAAATTTACAAAATTATTATAATAACAACAATGAGAATATTAATAACTAATCTTTTCATACCAAGGATTACAAAACAAATTGAAACGATTAGTTTTTCCAGGCTGTCCTGTGGGTGGTGTCGTCCGTGTTTCCCGCGCTCGGTAACTCTTATTATTAACTTCGGTACAGTATAACAACTGTTCCTAAGTCTATCGATTAATCGATATGCAGCGAATATTTATATAATTTGATATTTAAAATTATATTTACTGTTCAGATATAGGTTCTCAGGTTTTTATATATACTGTTTGTTGATATACGTGTGCTGTAAATACAGTACTCACAGAGAACTAGAAATCCTGACACTGGCGAAGGGTCTCCTCACATCGACCGCCTGCTCCACTTACCACATACTTCCGGAAGCGAAAATTACCCAGGATTTATGTCCCAATTTCTTATGAGTTTCACCTATATAAATTTTACATAATGGTCATTTAACACAAGTAAATTGCTTGAAAGGTGACACGGAATTCCAGACAGGCAATTGCCAACGAAAAAAAAAAATAATAACAGCAGGACTAGGAGAGGAAGGCAAGGTTGCTCCGGCAGGAACTCTACGGGGAAGTTAAACCCGTTAGTACTGCTGATCCAACACGGGATTGATTCATCCTTATCCTCGACCTCAACACCTTCCTGCCCATCCTTCCGCGCACAGTAACTCTTTCATGTAAAAGGCACATAATTGTCTACAATTGCATTTATAACAATGTTTTCAGTGATCTTTCGGGTTTTTCCTCACCCAAACAGTACTTGAAGTGCAATCGTCTTTAGGTAGATTCATGTAATAATATGGGGCGATTTTATAAATATATTTGGCTACACGAGGCAGGCCACTACAGTACACTCATCTCATGTCCCTGGTGAGAAGGCATTAACACCCTCGTCATGAGTCAAAAGGTTGACGTGATGGTCACCTCTCCATATTATCTTGTATAGATTCCTCCCTGCCTTTTCTCACATTCAATCGGTATATAAGGTGGTGGAAGTATTAAATATTTCTATACTTTTTAGTTTTCTTGTGAATTAATAACGATAGGATTAAAGGTACAATAAACGCGCAAACAACTGGTGAAAACTTAAGCGCGCTTCCTGGCCGTAAACTCTGCGGTCACCCACTGCCAGGTTTGACTTACAACGGTTTAAGTGCAGGGATTATTTTCCTCTACTTGTTACTAAACGTGAATCGAGATCATTGTCATGCTGATCATTTACTTAGAAAATGGCAACACAAATATTATTGAGTTGTAAAATAACTACTTTACTGAACAAAACTTTAAAGTAAGGGTAAAAGTAAATCTCCGGTGTGTACTGCAACACTATTACCCCCATCATCAACTGTCCCATTTAATATGTTAATACTAAATCTGTTGGTGGACTTTATGCTCTGTATGAACATAAATATTCATTAGTAGGAAAAAAACTACATAATTATGCGTCACCAAGTTACTGATGAACATTTTGATAATTAATAGTGTGTACTGACGTCACGAAGTGTTAGATAATGGCGAGAAAGATTTATTGCTCTTAACTGGTAACTCTGCTAAATATAGTGATAATAATAACAATAACAGTGTGTTGGGGGGAGTGTGGATACAGAACACCATAGCATTTGCCTTTTTCGGTACACAAGAAAGCAGTATGGCTGGCACTGGGTTCAAACCAACGACCCTAAGGGAAAGAGCCGAGCACTGTATACACCCAGTCGCCGCACCTCTTTAATACACCAATCTATCGTAGTTTCGGACTATTTAGGTAAAAAGTCAATCCCAGAACGTCAGCGTAACGTTACCTAAGCAAGGCTGTTTATCACTGCATTTACACTTAACCAGCGAATCCCAGTTCTCTGCAAGATTTGACCACAATTATAATGGTATAAATAGATTAATATATACTACAAGAACCTTATTTTTGGCCACAGTTCTTGACTAAGCGTCCAGTACCATTCATAAGTTCTACATGACACAGAAACACCGTCGGTTGTATGTTGATAGTACTGCTCTTTCAAACTTCATGTGTTTCCCTGAAGTAAAAGCCTAATTTTCCTACTTCTCTTTGCCCGACTGTTGTATCACTCTCCTACTTATTCCTCTCTGTTATTAACTGTTCTGATATGTTCCGATGCTTCCTGCTCGAACTACGCATACAGCCACCTGCAGAAGCCACTGGTCAGGCATATACAGTAAGTGTTATAAAACCACAAATGAGGAGTGACTAGTGCACAGCGTGACACAAGCACGATGTGGCGACGGGAACAAACACACTAAAGAGAGCCCAAAAGTCACCAAAGGAAGCTGAATGATGAAACGTTGAAATTCAGAAATGTGAAGGTTAACTTGACGAAATGCACCAAGGAAAATAGGGACAATTAATAATAATAACCAACAAAGACAATAAAGTTTTACCTGCGTGAGAAAGAGACGAAAACTTTATATATAACTAGATGTTGTAAATAAAATCATTCCTTTTCGTTCCATGTCACTGTCAATCAAATGTGTGAGTTTCAATGAATTCCGATAAAAAATATTTGGCGTCGATTCTTGGTGGTGGCCTTACACTATGTTGTATTTAATATTCACAGTATATAGGCTATATCTCTCAGCCGTGTCAGAAGAAACTGAATAAAAATATTGAAATTTGATGTGCTTTAATTTTCTGAGGAAGATCCATTTTACTTGGCTTTAATTACTGTTCTTGGCCTTAACACAACATGTATTATTATCATCATGATTGAATATTTATTATTGAGTGGAGTGTGACGTGACAGTAGAAGATTCAAGCGTTAACTCGTGATATGTGGAAGGAGTAAGTGCGTCAGTGTTTGTGACCGTTACTTGCAACGCTTTCAATTTTTTACATTTTACAACCTCCAAAACAGAGCAAATTTGGTTCGTGTGAATAAAGAAAATTGAGCACAGGTAAAAAATTTGTATTTAAGTGAATAACTGATATTTAACTGACACTAAAGGTATATTAAATAAAACAAAAACATTTAAATTATTGACATTTTATTGACATTTCATGAAATTGAGGACAGGAAATATTGTGATCATAAGTCACTTACCATTAATAAAGATACCAATACTTACCCAAACTTAAATTATCCTGAGGTATTCCAGAAGTTATAGGAACCGCTCCATGTTTGTAGGTGACCAGTACGGCTGCATTTACACAAAGCCAGTCAAGTCAAGTCAAGTCACGTTAAGTCATGACTCATCGTGATTCGCCACTCTAATGCACATTTACTCCAATGTATATTCTCAGAAACCATTCCCACCAGATGAGTCAAGTCAAGTCAAGTCACGTCGCATCGTGTCACGTCAAGTCACAGATGGGGTTGGGCCCATTTTCTTCATCAGTCACGCCGAGTCCGCACTGGTGTGTACATTTGGTTGGAGTATTTGGTATTTCACGAGACTGTGGAATACCTAAATATCCAGACAGAAATGACCTACCCATATTTGAATCACTAAAAACTGAACTGTCACTATTTCGTCTTTTGGTGTTGAGTTCATGCATCCAGATTCGGGTCCTCCTCTTGCGTTTACGACGCCGAATCCACAACAAAACAACTAATTCAGCCAGAGAATATGCGTCCATCCTCCTCGAAATCAGTCTGGGTACTGAGTCCTGATTGACTCAGGTTGACTCAGTCGGTGTGAACGGCAATGAGTCAAGTCGAGTCAAGTCAAATGACTTGATTGACTTGACTTGACTTGACTGGCTTGGTGTAAATGCAGCCTAAAGTTGTGCGTTTTTAAAAGGAGAACTGACTTGTTAACTAACGCCTACTCTAGTGTCTCCACCGCCACTGCTTCGGTGCTCGGTGTTCTCCACTTTCTTCTTGCGATATTTTTTTTCTCTTTTAATGTGTGTGTGTGTTATTTCATCAAATATATAATGTTATAATTTTTCAGTGGCAAGGTTGGTCATGTACTTTTCTATATTAGCATCAAACGTAACGTAAAGTACAGTAGAATTGTCTAGAGTCTAGACCAATGCACAATAATAGTGATACATTAAATGATAACATTGTTTTATGAGAACCACAATTACTATTTTAGTAATATGATGCTGAACTTAACTTACCCGTAACCATCACAAACTGTTCAATAGGTGTAGGGATCGTAATCCTCGCCATCTGCTTGTGCTGTATCCGGCGATGCTTCAGGAAGCGACGCACCAAGAAAGGCAAAGATGGCAAGGGCGCCGACATGAAGTCTGTCCAGCTACTGGGATCTGCTTACAAGGACAAGGTAAGGTCCCACCGGCCTCCCACTTGGTATATGAATGTAGGGTAAGGCTTTAGTGTTTATAGAAATTTAATGGACTCTCTTACCTGTAAACATCATAAACTTCTGAAACATTACGTTAACTTCTTAATGACCTTAAACCCAGAAGGTCTCCCTGTATGTGAGATAGAGGACAATTATGTGTCATTATTAAACAGTTAACAAAAGAGCTTGAATAACAAAACATAATGTAGTAATTTATTTATCAGTATTTGGTGACTGGTAACATTTAGAGTTGAGTGTTAGTTAGCATATCTCTGTCCTCTTCCTCCAGGCTGACATGGAGGAACTAACAGAAAATGCAGAGGACATGGCCGAAGAAGGAGAAAGCAAGAAAAGTGAAGAAAAACTTGGCCGTCTAAACTTTAAGGTAACTATGGCCGTCTGAACAAACACTATATTCTGGTTTACCAATAATTTACATGGTCATACTATAATATATATACAGTAATTCTTTAGCTCATACCTAATGCAACATAAATTAATCTAACCACATAAATCCTAACTTAGCGTATATAAGCTTGCCTAACATGACTTTGCCTAACTTGACCTTAACACAAGTATAAAGCACCGTTTTCTTTGTATTATTATCTAGTGTAGTGATGTTTTATGACAAACTACTGACCTGCTAAAACTTTGTACTGACTGTATCTCTCTCAGACAGATAAGTGATGAAGTACAGATGATATATGTAATTTGGGTTAACTAATGATGTGTGATACGTCTGCCATGATGATCACTGATATATGTGAATGTAACTTCTGTCGACCTCCTTCACAACAACTTACATTACTGTATACCCTCTAATTTTAATTTGGTTTGAATTAAGCAAAATTATTATTATACAATAAATATTCAGTACAGTATATGCGCAGTTGCCAGCACGCACACCTGATACAGTGGCTGGCGGGTTTTGTGAGAATTGGCAGAACTGTGTTTGTTGGCACTGGTGTTAAGTAAGAGTCCTCCCTCAGTCTATGAATTCTTTTACTTCCTGCATGGTTACAGATGACATTTTGATTAGGAGAAAGACGACGTTACCTACTATGTGATGGTTGGCCTAAGTTAAGGGGACACCTTAGGATAGTTCAAAATGAAACTATTGAAACTATAATAAAACTAAAGATGGTAATCGGAGACATACTTGCCTCTAACTTGTGGATTGAACAGACTTGTACTTAATATTCTAAAACAAAGAGACAGTGTGCTCGTTTATGCTCTATATCGGGACTTTTGGGTACCCTTCAGGAGCCTGTCAGTCGGTTATGCAGGATTGAGTCATTACTTGAGAACGCTCGGGTATTTAGTTCATATCCCAGTCATTAACATACACTGCGGGCTTGTTCCATGGCCTGATCAAATTACAGCTATTTTCTTTTATTTGCTGAAAAATTAAGCTCATATTTTATTTATGTTTAATGTATGTACTGTATAGTATTTCCTGGTCCTCCTCTGATGGGAAGCTAAGCCACTATGATTTATACCTTTTACCATAATGATGAGAAGATACACAATATTCTCTTTCATGCAACAGTGTAAAGCACAGCCTTCTCATCCTACCACACTACAAGCTAAACCACTGAAAAGGTTTCAATATATGTTTTAGCATCATTTAATACAGTAGTCTAGTTCCTTATTTTCCTCTTGTTGTAAGAGTTATACAGACCTATTTTAAAACTTAATAACCTCAAATAACATTTTAGCTAAAACACTGTTGTACACTTACAAGTTAGTCATCAGGTATAATAAAACGATATGTTGTCTATAATGTTTTTAAGTTATTAGTTTATATAATGGGTCACATAGTTAATGGACACTGTATTATTCTTATATAACAAAGATCATTTCTCTCCCCATATGATGAAAAACATTTAACATTTAACAATATCAAGTTTTAAATGATCTACTCACATATACAGTAAGCTCCTACAGAACTAATTTATTACTATTTTTCTGCAGCTGGAGTATGACTTCAACTCCAACAGTTTGAGTGTTACGGTGATCCAGTGTGAGGAACTCCCTGCGCTTGACATGGGTGGTACCAGTGATCCCTATGTAAAGGTTAGTGTCGCTTGACGTGGATGGTGGTATTGACCCATTCCTCAAGATCACTACAGTACATTATATACATTATCACTTTTTATTAGAGACATCAGTGATCCTTGTGTACAGAACCAGCTCCACTCACTCCTGCATTGAAGCTGTTGCCATTTGATTGACTGTAAAATGATAATCAGTATTAATCTTCCACATTTGTATCAACGTCTACTGACCTACCTTTCACATACTGTTTCCTTGTGTAAAGTAAAATGGTAGTTGATAATTATTCTTAAACTTTTATCATACTTACATCAATTGTTTCCAGTAAGGTCATCTATCATACAGTGCTAGCTTTTCTACTTCAATATGTATCGATGTTTCTCTATACATGTCTAAAAATCTGTCAGTCCTGTTCTATTTTCAGCTAAATTGGGCAACTAATGCTCATAAAACCTTACAAAAATTAGGCAAATTCCTTTTCCTGAACTCACTCAATGAAGTAATGGCAGTTAAGCCTTTCTCATTGTCTGAATACTTCACAGCGTTATTCTTGTTTTTATAAGACTTATTCCTCATATAAACCTACGCTGAATTTTACTTGATAGCATTACTGTATGTTTCTAATGTGTTAATCATAAGACTTTTACAATGTTCAAATTTTGGAAGAGATGGTGTGTGTTGTGGTGTTCCTTATTTCAGCCGCTCTTTATTGTACCGTAGCAGGAAAAGACTAGCAAGAGTGAGAATTTTTTTTAATGAAATCAATTCAATCTTTATTATTAGTATTTGAGATTGATAGATAATTTACGTTACAGGTGTATCTGTTGCCGGACAAGAAGAAGAAATTCGAAACTAAGGTCCATCGCAAGACGTTGAATCCCGTGTTCAACGAGACTTTCACGTTCAAGGTTACTGACTCTGTTTCACTTGTTTTGTTTCCGTGTGTGTGTGTGTGTATGTATGTCTCTCTGTGTGTCGTTGGTCCTATGGTTGAGTTAAGCAATCTCCTCTTTTGTTATCGACTGTCAGTTTGTGATTTCATTTGGGCTTTATCATTTTGTTGGTCCCAAGAAATTCTATGAATGATGAGAGTTGAGATTCAGTTAATTCTTGTACTTTTTGTATTATTATTATTGCTAGTCTTATTATTATTATCAACGAGAGTAACTGGGCAAGAAAATAGTCCTAATTATTATACGAATTTAAGCTATCAACAGTGAGCAAACATTCTGTAGACTCTACCATTCTCAGCAGACATCTTTCACAGTTGTCAAAAGATGTTTAAATCATTACTTATTTAAAAATAATACACTAGTTGAAATGCGAAATTATCAACTGCCATATGTTACGCTTGACAGCAAATAAATGCAAACTAACGCCTGAGAACTTGATTATGCAAATTATTTTTCATTACATTATACCTAAATCAAATAATTCATTGAGAGATTGAATTTGGCAAAAATACACCAAGATCAGAGCAGGACAGACGTGGTTAAAGAATTGGGAATGGTAAAATATATCACATAATTGTTATAGATGCAATGGTTTACACTACCAGTCTCTTAGCCCCTCAAGGATATATAGTTTTATTTATTTATACTTGTTATTTGTTATATACAGTATAGTAGCTGTACAGTGTAATTATGTCTTCTCACAGCTGTCTTTGCTCATATAGAAAATGCAGATTTCAACGGCCATCATGATGTGACTTGATATAGATTTGCTGTGGAACAATATGAAGTGGCAAGCTCAAAGGGTTAGATGAACAAAGTCATTAACATGCATTTTTTTATTTTCATGCAACAACAGGTAACTTGCAACGGAGTTTTTGGGCCAGTTTTGAGAGCATGATAATTTAGCGTACTGCCAGCAACTGATACAGAACTGCTAGCCAAAATACATTTATATTAGCACTTACAATATTGGCATGTTTTGTTTTACGATCGTATTTATTCCTTTTTCATAACCTTTTCCTGCAATGATAGACTTAAGAGTATACAAGTACAGTGCAGTATTACTCTATAGGCACTTTGAGAGTATAGTATTATCAAGAAGCAAAACCTATGTAAGTTATATTGAGTCTATGAAATGCTTATTTAATTCCATTTAAAGGAAATATTCATACAAGTTGCACCAATTTAATCTTAGAGTCGTATGTACAAATTCTGATCCTTTTTTTGAGTTGGTCAAGACTGTCTCATACTACCCAGTAGGTTAACTTTATGATCATGGTTGGTGTTTATGGTGTTTTTAGACGTAATGAATCAGTTTTTGGAAGAACCAATTTTATCTCGTTGTTTTCTGTTTACATATTTGACTTATACGTTTTCTTTTGACTGTGTCTGTATCATCTATGACTTTTTTTCCGTGTTCAGAGCCGGGTGAAGCATGCAGAGTCTAACTCAACATATCAATGACCTTTTCCTTCGTGGTGGTTCTTTCAAAAACTCTTGTACATATATCACTTCTCTACACTGCTACCAAGGACTAGAGCATGTTAGACCCGAGACCAAAGGCTGACTGGTAGTTTTAGACTTAGAGGAATCTTGCTTAACATTTTTCAGCTTCAAATGCCCGTGATTTTAGTCCCAGGGTCATTATTACCAACACATGACTGAGGGTCTTGTTGGAGTAGCTAATCTGTTCATGTCACTTGAACAATTCATTATGGCAGCATGCTGAACAACACAGTCACAACTGATTTTCAGATATCTTGAAATGCATCTAGCTAGTTTAAATTGGTGGAATACCTCGGTATCCACACTCTTAAATTTAATGCAACTTATTTCAACCAATGAATGCTGAGTTCAGGTTAACTTCTTCCAAAAATAGGAATACATTTGTTGATCTTCCAGGCAATAAAATGGCTCTTCCATGCCACTAGCCATGACCTGGCAACAATGAAGGAGATGCACTTACTTTGCATGTATTTTTGACACTGATATTTTGGGGCATTATTATATGCCACACTTTTCAGCACTCACAACACACCAAGACACGTCAGCACCTTAGTTCACTGCATTTAACCACAATAAAAAATAAAGCCAAATTGAGTTAAGGAGACAACAAGGTGGCTGTTATACCATCACAAACAATCAGTTATACCATCACAAACAATCAGTTATATCATCACAAGAGTCAGTCAGTTATATCACCACAAGAGTCAGTCAGTTATATCACCACAAGAGTCAGTCAGTTATATCATCACAGGAGTCAGTCAGTTATATCACCACAAGAGTCAGTCAGTTATATCATCACAGGAGTCAGTCAGTTATATCACCACAAGAGTCAGTCAGTTATATCACCACAAGAGTCAGTCAGTTATATCACCACAAGAGTCAGTCAGTTATTTCACCACAGGATCTTTAAGTTGTCCTCGTGTAGTAAACAGCGAGAATGCAGGAGTATAATCTAAACGATCTACTCTATAACACTCGTAAGCAGAAGTAAGAATATATGTGTCTCTCCCTGACGAGTAGAGTAATACTGTGTTAGAGTTGTGTGATGGAGGAATGTCCTGAGGTGTTAATGCTCCTCATCTGATGTAATAAATGCCCTCAGTAACGAGTGAAGAGCATATCAGAATAAGCTAGGAAGAATGTACAGTACATATTGTTTTGCTCAATGAGAATTTCCTGGAAGTAACATGGCAAGTTTACAGTTGAAGATCGAAAGTTGCTAGTAGAAGAATGACAAGCTTGAGCTCCTAAATGGGATTTCGCCAGGAAGAGGAGGATATAAATAGCCATAAGAGATGTAGAAATGAAGGCTTTAGCTTGGTGCAGTACATGGGTGTATATTACAAATTGGACAGGTAGTTGGTAGATATTTGGCAGTCTTTTGACAGTACAGTACAGTAGTTAGTTGAGTATCTCCTAGGAATTGTACATATGTAAACCTCAGTTCCATAAAAATTAGAATGTTAAAGATAGCTGTAATATTTGTATGACGAGGTATGGTGTACAAGAATCAACCCTACATTGTGAAGTACAGTATCAGAACCTCTGTTGCCTATGACATCAGCCCAAGTTATGTCTTTAAATATGAAAACTTGAAATAAGTCTCATGTTACTTAGAGGGAGAGAATAGTGTAGGATGTTGGGAGTGAGGAGTCACAGACGAATAAACCTGACCAGTACCATCCACTGCCTTCACAGCTTCCACCACTACTCCTGTCACCTGCACACTTCCACAGGAGTTTTCATTAACTTTATGATTGCAAGCATATTTATTCTTGCTTTTACTCCTTCATTATAAGAATCAGAAAATATTTTTGTTCTCATGTTTTGTTTCTCCAAGCTTTTCATTTTTTAACGTAGAATAATATAACATTATAGATATTTTTCATGTTTTCTATATTGGCACGACACTGCCCACTCCCTCAAGGGCCAGAGCTCCACCACACCACCACTGAGAGCTGCCTTGTATCATGACACACCTGATTGTGTTCTGATTCTCTTTATATGCAACTTTTCAGTTCAATTATGACATTTTATCTTCTACTATGGAATAATTATATAATTGCCGGAATACAATCCACTTTCCACTGACATTTTCTTTATTATAGTGACGAAATTATATCTTATGCCGTAAATAATAATTACTTCAGTTTCAGAATCCAGATCTATGTAAAGTATATGGTAGTCTGTTCTAAATGCTGTAGTGCACTATAAAAAATGAAAACTTTTATCGTGATTATTCAGTTTTCGTGCTAAAAATTTTGACTGAAACGCCAAAATCCTTTCACACCCTTATTGCCTAAAATCTACATTATAGTGTCCACGTATAATAGAAATATAGACTTCTCTTACCGTAGCTGAATCCTGTTTTATGCTGACGTATCTTAACAAGAAGGTGATATCCTCTCAGGGGTCATTCTAGCCCTGTCAGCCCAGCAACTAGAGTGATAGTTAACAACCCCAAATTTTATATATATTTTAAAATTAAACTGATTGTATTTTTATATAATTGAACATTAATCCTCATTATTCTTCGGACAAGTTTAACATTATTTTAATAAACATTTAATCAATTCGTGTTTGGTTTGGCCAGTTTGTTTGGTTTGTATTTAGTTTAATATTCATCTGTTAACTGATTACAGATTTTCTTCTAAAGAAGTTCAATATAGTATGAGAAGACACTCAAATGACAACCAAGTTAGAGGAGAAAAAATGAGAGAAATCTATCTACACTTCTCAAATAGTCACAGACCTGACACATAAGGACGGAGCGGTAATCGTGGCTTTAAAACTCGAGAAGAGAGAAAGAGTATGTGTAGTTAAACCTGCGCCGCTGCCTAACATGTACATCTTGGGTGAATGTAAACAAGGGGAGGCAATTTAGGCACTGTACCGTGGAGTAAGAGCACAAGGTAGCACGGTGGGGGCAGCAGGACACTAACACGATAGTATCTCAGCAGGAATAATGCTATCAATAATGCAGAGTACATTAATATACAGAGAGATTGGTGTTATATGAATTTTTGGGGGGTAAGAACATATTGCTAAACAGCTAACGGGTGACGTTGTTGGCTTGTGTGAAGCTACACAAGATTTGGGGCCTTGTTACAGAGTGAAGTACATAGCAGAACTCGTCTTTTCCAGCAGAGAGTGAATTAATGACAAAGAATGAGAGGAAAATGTGTGTGTGTGTGTGTGTGTGTGTGTGTGTGTGTGTGTGTGTGTGTGTGTGTGTGTGTGTGTGTGTGTGTTTTCTCTCGCTTACAACCTGCATTAAGTGGAAAAATGCTTGGAAAAAAAGAATAAAACTTTAGTCAAGATTAATACAAAACAAAAACAACAACAATAACAACCGAGAAAATAGAGAATCATTACGTTAACGGAAAAGATATGAGAGTAATCAGAGCACAGTCAAGTAGGTCAGGTGTTGCCACTGTGTGTTGAGTCTAACCTAGTGCTTCTCACCCTCCTCTAGCAGATCCCGTATGCCGACATCATGTCCAAGACCCTCGTCTTTGGCATCTATGACTTCGACCGCTTCTCAAAACACGACCAGATTGGTGAGGTCAAGATCCCTCTCTGCCAAGTGGACCTCGCCCAGACGATCGAAGAGTGGCGTGATCTTGTATCTGTGGAAGGCGATGGTGGCCAGGTGAGCTCACAAGGGCGGCAATCTTTCTATTCTCCTGTTTCATCCTTTTCTTCTTCCTTACCTCCTCCTCCTCTCCTCCATCGTCCTCCACACTTTATCACTCTCTGCCTCGCACTGACATAATCTCTGCCAGATAACACACTTCAGGTCTCTCAAACATTTCATAAAAATTGATTACAAAATTGTCCTTGTTCACCAGTAGTTATGGCAGATATAATATTCTGTCATTAATTACCTCATTTAATCTATACAAAACCACATTTTTTTAGTATTAGGAAATCATGTTAAGATTATCCTGAGTAACTTTCACTCATATTTCAGCTGAACAATTAATATTTTGATGGATAATGTCCTGCTTATGTTTAGACCAATACCAGTACAAACACTCTTACATTAGATAATCAGTTAAGCAATATTTTCAAGTACAGTTTCTTCATGTTAACCTGTGTGCTGTACAGTAATTCACAATACAGTAGGTCTGCATTACAACTACAGTGTGGCATTGTAACTGTTTAGTAGCCAGTCTTTGTTTTAATTACTAACAAAACATATTCAAGTTTAGTCGTTAACCACTTGATAGATTTTATTCAACCTCACAGTGATTTTATACCACCTGTTCCCCCTTGTTATCTCCCACCTAACCCCTTTCAGGTCGCTAATATGTTTTCTCACATACTGTACTGTACCAGGGAGGTCCCAGAGACCATATAACAACTCATTAAGTATACTGACAATATGTTAAGTATTCTGGTAACACATTTAGTATACTTATGACATATAAGTATACTTGTATTATGTAAAGTGTGCCTACAAACATGTAGTAAACTAAAAACTTTTTAAATGTACTAAAAACATGTTAAGAGTACTGACAACATGCTAAGTGTACAATAATATCAATTGGTTAAGTATACTGACAACATGTTAAGTACCTGTATACTAACAACATGTTCAGTGTACTTACAATACGTTAAGTATACTTACAACATGTTAAGCATACTAACAACATGTTGAGTATACTAGCAACACATTAAATATTCTAAGAAGTATATAAAGAACCTTCAGTTATACTGCTCGGGGCCTGCCATCACACGTCTCAGATGACACTCACAACATTGTTCTTGGTGAAATTTCCGTTACATATTTACTAATTTGAAACCAGGTGCACACGGCTGATTGGCTGAGTAATACATTACCTCACCACCAATTAGGGGCAAGACTCTAGACTTTAAATCAAAATAAATAATACTTGTAAATGAATAAATCTATAACGGCAATGCCACTCCATGGATATATGGGCCATGTTTGTCATCTTTGACTTAAAATGGCAGGTCAAGATGACGTATATATTACATCCTTTACGAAGAGGACACGTTAAGGAGGTCCAGATTCTTGGTCAACCACTAGAGTGAAGGTGGGGCAGTGGTGGCCCGTGTGTGTATGTTGATGTAAGTGACTCATGGTGCAAGATGTGGGTGGTAGTGTTTTATCAAACTGGTGTTATGGGCCCCATTACTCATACCATAAGGAGTAGCAATTTGAAACCTGTGTGATCCCTTTACATGCAGTAGCACCTTCAAAGTGACTGCCAGGCTCCCCTTGGTCCTTCTGTGGGCAGTAGTCCCTCTTAAACATTTTTGCTCGGTACTGACTAAGTGTGGGTAGTAGTCCTTTAAAAAGCTTCTTCTAAGGGCACTTTTTGGTTAAACTGTGGTGGTTGTACCTTAACAAGCAGTTACTGAGAGCACCCTTCAGCCAAAGTAGTTGTAGTTCTTCCTTTAATGGCACTATATGGCCACCTTCTTAACCTGTCCCTCTAGTGGTGTTCAAGAAATGGATCAACCATCACCTGAAGCATCTTGCCCCCGGACTATGTGTTTCTCTGTACTAAACATCATTTTGTCAGAACAGACTTGTATAGACTGGCTCCACACACTTCATGACAGAACTGGATGATGTTGATCACTGCCTAGCGTGCCTAGCTCCTAGATCACAACATTGTATCAGACTTAGCCAAACTTTAGTTCAGCCTAGCTGGAGTAGGAGTGCGTCATGATAAAGTTCGTCTCATTAGCTCAAGTTGATCAACAGAGTAAATGTACATTGTTTCTGCAGTAATCTGAGGACCGCTGCTAGGTGCCTGCAGTAGCAAGCACAGATGCATAGATGAGCCTCTTAAAATCATAGTTAGGGTGCTTGAGTAAACAAAATCCATGTAAGGCTGCATTTGTTGGAGCGGTGGCCGCACGCTGGTGAAGACCACCCGTGCCAAGTTTGAGTCACTACTCACACCACACTACTGAAACGTGTTCCACCTCTTGACCATCATTGATAAACACTGAACACTTGCCAACATACTTGTGTATTGGCATTTCCTTCCCTCTGTAGATATTTGAAATGTAAGTCAGCACAACGCAATGTGAACAATCTTTGTTTTGAGTCAGGTCAATTCAGCTTCCATTACGTACCAAAAGTTTAAATGAGCTTCCTCCTCTTCTCCAAACAATACACTGAATCACTTTATTACTCATAGTGAACGCTCACTGCCCCTTGTGTGGATATATATATATATATATATATATATATATATATATATATATATATATATATATATATATATATATATATATATATATATATATATATATATATATATATATATATATATATATATATACATGTATTTCACTCAGCCCACCGTCCTCCTGTATTACACAGCCACGGACACATCATCCATAACCCTCTAATTGCAACACCAACTTCCAACCTCTTGAAAGGAAGACTCTTGAGACCCACATCCTCATCCCCTTCCTAGAGGTTTGAACACGGATTACCTGATATACTTGATTGGAAACTCTCAGTTGGTGAAGGTTGTTACTCCACACCATAGCCGTGGATAGCTGGTCATTCATGCTATCACGGAGTTGCCAGTCAGAGTGAGAGGTACTGGCACTGGTGCTGGGTTATGTTTGATGTGTGTGTACGGCAGATAGTGTTGGCCAGTAGTTGATAAAGGCCGTGTTGTGTGTTGAAGCTGTCGGTGTGGGGACTTACCTCTTCTTGGTAAACTATATGGGGTGTTTGGTGGACGGGGCTACTTTCTCTCCTCTCCTTTCCTCCGTCCAAACCAACCATCACCAACTGGAAATGTCGATAATGTTTGCATTATATGTTTAATAGTTATATGAGGTGGTAAAGAGTTGCTTCAAAATTATCTTCATTTAGAAAATTTGGACCTGCAGATTAATATGTAAATTATATATAGTTGTTCAGTGCATAATGCCTTGATCACCAAATATTATCACTTGCCTGTTTCTTTGTGTATATATATATATATATATATATATATATATATATATATATATATATATATATATATATATATATATATATATATATATATATATATATATATATATATATATACAAATTTGATTCCAAGGTTATCTAGATATTCAAGGATGTTTTGTAGTAGTGCTGCAGATCACTGGAGCAGCTAGACTCAGATGAGAGAAGGTAGCCTCTGTAGTCGCTCATGTACTGCACATAATTCTCCAGCAATGCTGCAACAAATTATATTCATAGGAGCAACATAGCACCATTAGACACTGTTAGTATAAACTATGAACTACTTTCTTAAGTCCACCCTTCTTCCGCTAAGTTGCCTACGTTTTCCTTGGTAAAATGGAAAATGCAGTATTGGGTTGCAGCTTTGCGGGTCTTCATATGATTGAGTTCAGTAAATGATAACTGTGAGGAGCACAAGCTTTCCTGTTCAGTCGAGGATCAACCAGATGCCAAAACTGAGCTGAAGTAAATAAATCTCGCATTGTTGTCTCATTTATGAACTTAGCATATTTACGATGTGTTCAGACCACGTGGTGCCTCCCAGCCCAAGGGCTAATCTCATAACTTTTGAAAGAAAAACTTCTGTCTAACTGATAATTTGATGTTTTGTAACTATGAGTAGGACTGAGACTCTGGCCTTCAGATATGATTTTTTTTTCTTAGCCATTTTGTTCTCCAAGTGTCTCAATAGCTCAAGTAGTGAGACCAATGTGTAGGATGTGGTGGTGACCCAGCTACAGCCATCAGGGGCTGGGTTATGACCAAGGATGTCCAGTAGTGGTGTGGTCAGTGGTGCTGACCCACCCTACCACACACTAGCCACACTGGTTCCACTTGTTAATGACAGTGGTTCCACGAGTTAGTATAGTGGTTCCACATGTTAGTCTTAGTGGTTCCACAAGTTAGTCACAGTGATTCCACAAGTTTGTCTGGGTGGTTCCATGAGTTAGTTTGAGAGGTTCCACAAGTTAGAGTGGTACCAATGTTAGCGAGAGTGGTTCCCGCGGGCTGGGACGACTCACTCCTGTACTGCCTTATCTGGTGTAGGGCCAGGCCCCTCCCCCACCCTGGGTGACCCCCCCCTGACCTGATCTCCACCACCCTCCACAACCTTACTCGCTCCACACCAGGTCAACCCGAGGTCACTCAGGTTGCCACCCATCACGCCGTTTATAACTTCTTTCACTCAACAACTTTCAAATAACCTCTTTTTAATATTTCCAACCAAAAAATACCCTTCAGATTTAGTGTTCCTCTAAAAACATAAAAATTTTCAACTGGATGTGGGTGATATTGCGTGTTGGTGGTAGGGCGGCTCACGGCCCTTAGGTAGGTGTCCTCTTTTCTTCCTCATCTCCCACTCAGCATGCAGGACTCAGCCTCTTCCTTGCTCCACGCACCTCCCTCCGACCTCCCCAAATCTAATGAGGAATGATCCGCTAGCCTTAATAAGCCTTGAAGTGAGGTGAGGTGAGGTGGAGGCTCTGGAGCAAGTGAATAGAGGTTATGTGTCCACTATTCAGTGACTCTTCATGCTTGAGACTATTTTTGCTGATGTTTAGTGATTGCCGATGCCTGTGGTTGTGATGCTTCTTGTGGTTGGTGCCGTGTTGCATGCCGCGCACGCACGCCTCGTCCATGTACTATCCTTCTCTACGTCGCCTTCCGGACGGCTTCCACCTGCGTCCTCATTCCCATACCCCTTCTTGTACCGCATATTCTCTCATTGTCTGACAAACTTGACAGCCCTCGGCACTCCACAAGTCCTACACCGCCTCACTCACTGCCCCCCCATCACCTGGGCGAAATGTGTTTACATGTGAAGCCTATTGTGAAAGCTGGTGGCGTAGGTTGTAGGCAGGCCGGGGGCAGAGACAAGTGTGTTAATTCAGCCATGACTCCGCCTCTCGCCCCACCCCGCGACCCAGGATGACTCGCAGGTGCCGCCACATATCGCTCGCTCCATCTCCAGCACCCACAGACAGTCCACCTATCATGCTGTGGTGTCTCCCTCTTGTCATTAGGTCACATAATGCAAAGTCAATTTTTCAATTTTACTCGTAAATACTCAGACCATTAGTTGTCAGCTTGAGTACACAAATACTGTACCGTATTCCAAGTTTTGATTGGCTGCAGAAAGTGTAATGTATTTGATAATAGAGCCTTTACTATTATGTAAACATTTTCTCCTCACTCATTCTAAGAGAACACAGATGTGCAAAATCCTTTATGCTCTGTTATGTTTTTTCCAACTTGATACATATACCAGAAATATGGAGTGGGCATTTGTGGATGTCCTGCCTGTTGTAAACTTTAGCTGGGTCGCTGAGGGAAATAAAAAACAAACATCGTTTTTGCAGTTTTACACCTGTACTTAAAAGAACACCCCGTGCCATTGCTAAAAGAACGGTAGAGTGCCCTAAAAGAAGCTGTATATTGCGAGGTATTGCAACGCGTTCGTGGCATCGCTGGCTGCTGGCTGGCTGGCTGGCCTCATCACATAATTCATCTTGTCAGATTTAACCTCTGTGTATATAATTATCATTCTCCTCTTTATATATCACTGTGAAATTCAACCTTAACTGCTCAGTGGCCAGTTGCTTGTATGTCACTCATGAGAAGGGGATAGAGAGCGGTGTGTGTAACTGTGAAACCTTCCATATCATCCACTCAGTTAAGTTTGCTCACATTTGCCTTCCAGTTGTTTATGTTGAGCGTTTATTAAATACTCGCCTCTCTGTCTCCTAAAACTTGGCATCTGGCCCGAGCACTTTATCCCTACAACACCAATTGGTGATTAGTTATCCCCCTTCTGGCAGACTCTCCCTCACTCACTCGGTCCCGGGCTCGGCTTCTTAAAGGTTCCTCTTAAATTTTCTCCCCAAATTATTGGAAAAGGAATGCATCTATTTACGGTACAATGCCATTGGAATCTTGATGCCATTTTGGATGCTGTATTTGTCTTGTAGCTTGAATGAACTAGTTGGATGAGTTCCTGCACAACTTTACTGAGGGAGAAACATTTAATGAACAGATCTGCGAGACTCCGAGACCGGACGCGCGACAAGCATGACCTAATCATTACCCCAAACCTCAAGGAAGAAAATGTGATATACAAACCCGCATAAATTGACTCTTGAGGCTTAGAGATGATAAGGGCCATGCCTGTTGTGAATACAGCTGTTATTTGTTTATTTAATTTTTAACTGTGTGATGCGGTGTCGCTGTGTCCGGTGCCCTCCCACCGTCCTACCACTCGTTCACAACTCTCGTATGTTTCATCTCCAACTACAGGATAATACATGGACAGTTCCAGAGAGAGTTATAAGGTTTTTTATGCATGTATTTGAGAACATGACTCAGGATGCTCTATTCCACGAATGGTTTTATATATTTTTACCCCTTTTCTCCATATATAAACAAGAATCTTAGAGAACCAATAGAGAGTTTTTAGCATTAATGCCTCTGCATGTGACATCGTACCAATGACACAGAAATTGTCGTTATAAAGGCGCAGGATCGAACAGTAGTCACTTAACAGTTTAAATTAGGCTTCTAGTAGTGTCTCCAAAATAAAATAAAATAATTCCTTATTAAATATAATAACTTAAAATATTGTGATAATTAAAACTATTATGCAAGAGTGTCACTCCTAACAGTCTCTAACCCCCAAAATATCATAAAACGCTTATAAGAAACTTAACCTCTCGCATATCAAATTATAATCAGAATTTATTATTTCATATTGAGTCCCATATGACATAAAGGTCAATGTTAATGTTGTTACAGCAGTTGATGAGCTCTTGTCCTCAGGAGCCGTCAATAATGCCCACTTAATTCGGGAAAATATCTTAACTATGATTAACTATAATTGTTGTATAATTACAAGCTGGAGTATGTTAACTCTGTGTTGCCAGTAACTACTACTCACAGATTTACTCAGCTGCTCACAATGGTTCACCTGGAGACTCTACTGTTCCTGCCCATCTCTGTCAGCAACTTACTGATTTTTCTCATCATTATCAAATTGCTCAAAACATTAACAAAGCTTCAATCTAGAAAAAAAAATATATAAATATTTTGGTATTAATGTAAAAATTATCAGCAAAATTGTGTGCAAAATTGATCTGCCCAAAATGCTAGACAGAGCTGGAGCGTAAATGTCTGCCAAATAGCAACGATGTCTTCCAGCATTTGGCACCATTTACGAACTTACACGCTTCAGGTCGTTTTGTGATTTAACCAAGTCTGGAAATAAATTTAAAGATTTTACCAACTGCTCAACAAATCTATAAAGTTAACTAAAAATGCGGCTCCTAATTGCATTATAACTTAATCAAATAACAGAATTATCTTTTGTTACGGAGTTTATTAACAATGCAAAATGCAACTCTATAATCTTTGATCACCAAACGACTCGAAGCTCAATGCATTTCGTTACGTATTAAGCAATTCAGAAATTTTGGATCCAATATTCTATTACTAATTTATTATATTACATGACCATTCACGTTGGTCTTTACATTATTATTATTATTATTATTATTATTATTATTATTATTATTATTATTATTATTATTATTATTATTATCCACTGCCTGGGTACGTTTCTGCCTGTTGTATGAATTTGTTTTATTTCATTTCATTTGTTTTAATTTTCTTTCAGTATGAAGTTGCTGAGATGGATGAGTCCTTTCTTATGATTAGTATTATTATTATTATTATTATTATTGTTATCCTTATTATTATTATTATTATTATTATCTATCACATTTTGATTATGCCTTTGATACCAACTTTGATACGGGTTTCTATGCTAGCTTTCTTCTTATTATTATTATTATTATCATTATTATTATTATTATTATTATTATTATTATTATTATTATTATTATTATTATTATTACTGCTACCAAAATAAGCCTTCATTAACCAAGCCAAGGTCATGAACCCAATTTGTAATGAAAAAATTATTTGGAGTTGATTATATATATATATATATATATATATATATATATATATATATATATATATATATATATATATATATATATATATATATATATATATATATATATGTGTGTGCGTGTGAGTTGTGTATATACACACACAACTCCAAGGACATAATATCAATTTGTAATGAAAAAATAATGGGGGTTGATGAGATAAACAATGCGATGGTCATGAACCCAACTTTATAATAAATAAAGTAGGAAGGGTGTGATGACTTTGTGTTGTGAGTTAAGACACTCTGATGATGAACCCACAGTCTTTGGTGAAGTAAAACTAAAGGTGACTTGGAGTTGGTGGTGTATACAGTATAACTCCCAGGACATAAAATCAATTTATATAGAGTCACTCAAACAGAAGGTGGATGATGACTTTGTTTTGATGACATATCCAATTCCAGGGTCATGATGAACCCACAATTTGTGATGAATTAAAAAAAAGAAGGATGACTTGGATTTGATGAGATATACAATTCCTATTTTTTCACAATGTTTCTTCTCTGCCATGCTTGTCATCTATCAATGCTCGCTCCATCCCTCTCTTGGTGCGCATGTACCTCCACACACCTCTGGCGCCAACCCTCTTGCCTACGTAAGTATTGTCACTCTCTGCACAACCATTTTTTGTTCTCTCTTTTTTCTTGTTACTGATTCAGAGGAATAAAGTCTTTAGTGAGCATCTTTTCTCTTTTTCTCTTATTATATTGATAAGAGGAAGTGTTAGAGATTTGTTGTCTTCAAATATACAATATATGCGTATAACTTCCCTCAAAGTTTAAAACGATGTTCGGGACTACCGTGACTGCTGTATGTTTACTTATTTATGCCCGGGCTGGTGTAATGTAACTTGGGTCTCCAGACTGACGGGTTATAGTCACTGTACAGTACTGTAAATGAGATATTAGTGGATTTGAGTGGAAGAAATACACCTACTATACAATACACACGCTTTATACTTTTTTGTGAAAATATAACCCAGAAAACCCAAAAGGGTTTACGTGACATCAAACTGACGTATAAAGTAGCTTATCACCAGGTGTAGAAATTTTTATTGGGTGATACGGTATTCAAAGATTAAGAATAAATGTCATTGAGAGACTTCCTACGATTTAGATGTTGTTCAGTGATGTATAATCAGTTGAGCTTTAGATGTGGTCAGGTGCTTTTCAAAGACTTTATTCCTCAAAATGTGATCCAAATGTTGAGTGGAAGAGGCGGGGTGTGAGGCACCAGCACACTCTGTAAACTGTGTCCCTCCCCCCCTCCCCCACCACTCTCTCCTCTATGGTGCTAAGTGTTCTTGTCCGTGTTCAGGGTAAGTCACCACTAACTATGTCAAGAGGTTAAATACTCCACAACATACTGAGGAGGCCATGCTACACCTCCACAATAAATTGAGAGAATTATGCTTAGTCTCCACAACAAACTGAAGAGGTTATACTAGACCTCCACAGCTAAATAGGGTCATAGTAGACTTTCACAACAAACTGAAGAGGTTATACTAGACCTCCACAGCTAAATAGGGTCATAGTAGACTTTCACAACAAATTACACAGGTTATAACAACTATACGGGTTATCAGAAGCTCATATCATCCTGTGCAAAGATTTACACATTATCAGAACTAGGTTTAAGCTTCTCTGTGTTACCATGTTTACAGGAACACCAAGTACTCTGCCTCAGTAGTGGGCAGCCATCAGATAGGGTATATGTGTTTATCCTAACTTATTACTGTAATCTTGTTATAAGTATCAGTTACACCTTATCAGTTTATTGTTAACTTAACACTTAGTATAAGTAATAAATACACCATCTTAGTGCATGATGGTGTACCTCATTAACTTAACACTGTGGGTTCAGTAAGAGATACAGCATCAGAGTACAGTACTTGGACCACATTACTACAGCATTACAAGTAACTGGTAAAGGCTACACACGGCCTCAGTTTCCCCCCAAATTATTATAGTTTTAATTAGGATAACGTGCCTGTAGGTATATTAACTTCATTACCATTGTTTACAAGTGTTTCCCCCTCACTACCCCCCCCCCCACAGAGTTATGGCTAATCCTTCAAAAGTTTGTCCACAAAAATCACATCGCAAGTTTGTGTTTAGAGTTGTCAGAATATTACTTAACTGTGTTAAGTTTCAGGGCTCCCCCTGACACACTAACATTGTTGACTTATACTCTTCCCCATCCCTCTTCCACCCCACCAATGTGTCTGGTACGTATGTCCTGTGGTGGTCTTGTTATGATGCAACCCGCAGTGCAGGCAGACTGTCACCACATACAGCAGGAGACACTGTAAACAGCAATGAGACTTACTATATAACATATACAAGAGAATGACTCTGTCTATTATAATGTCAACAAACTGACTGCGTGTATGTCATGGCCCGAGGAGACTGGCACCATTTTGGCTACAGTTTTGGACATTTAATGTCATATAGGACTCTCAAGCTTGTGTCTCTTTCTCTCCAGTTTTCTTGGTGGATGAAACTTGATGCTTAGAAACATCATCATCTGATCAGTACTTGTTAGGCCATCTTATCAGCTGTTATCGCAATACACAATGTTGTTGCTAGAATTAAAAACAAAACAAAAAAAACAGTCCAAACCGAACATCCTCTCTGCAGTAGGAACTGTTTACACGATAGGAATTGTGGCTGAGTGGGTAGAAACTAATCTTAGTTTCCAAGGTCCAGGGATCTACTCCCAACCAGGGCTGTGACCCTGTGGGAAAGGATCTCTATCACAGACACACACACACACACACACACACACACACACACACACACACACACACACTCCGTACCAGGTGTGACTGGGTACCAGCTTATCCGGAGTTGCATAACACAGGTGTGAGTCAAACTGTGGTGTGTCCAAGACATATGGATACATTCGCAGTGAACTGGACCAAGGGAGACTGAGGGCAGCGGTGCGTTACCTGCGCTGACAGAACTTGGCCTCTACATTTACAGTGACATACAGTAATGGGTACACTTCTGCATATAGACATTTCCACGATTGTTAACATATATGTCGTATAAAGTCAAACTCAAATGTTTAGCAGGAACCACAATACCGATAAAATTTTACCAGAAACTAAACTCCTTCAGAGAAACATTGAGGAAGACCTGGGGTCAGAATTGCGACTGTTTACTGGTGACCCGTGTCGTGCTGGCCACACTGTCCGTTCAAAGTCAAATTATATAGAAAAAAGTTTCACGATAAATGTTAATCCATATTCTGTGTTATCAAACTATGTAACGGCAGGATTATTTCAAAAGATTTGTTTAAGACAGTGAACATAAAGATAGATAGATAGATAGATAGATAGATAGAATTTATTATTGTGAAATGAGTATAAACATCTTTGTTTGGTATATAATATTCGCGGCATAAAAGTCCCACTGCAAGCATTAAGAAAGACTGGCTCACCAGGATCAACTTTGAGTTACTGTAATGTGCTGTACTGTACTGTAATATATCTTAGCGGTTCGTTACGGACTGTTGGTAACGCCCTCAAAATAAACGGCTATACAGTACATTATGGACTTACGCCGTGTGACTGAAACTTAGTTAAATCGTTTGGAGATTTTCTACATTTCATTATATAATTGCATTACAGTGTGTAAAAATTAAGTGAAATCCTCGACATTACATTTTGGATGCGTTATCCCAGAGACGGTCACATCTGTTCACCCCAGGTAACAATTTGCTCAATTTTAATTGACCTGTTGACTGAATTTCACCCAGTTTGAGCTGCCTTACCAATCGTTACATTTTTGAGAAGTAGATTGGTCGCTTGTTGCTAATTAAGATATAATGTCACATTGGCAAATGCACAGCCATTTTTTCGTATTTTGATATGTATTAGTTTTTTATCAGGTGAAAATATAGTTTTAGCCTGAATAGGTTCCACCGCGTCTGTTTTAAACATTGAAAACAAAACTAATAGCTGTGAAGTCACTGGTGTGACATGACTCAGTAACAAGCAGCCAATCAACTTCTTTCAAATGGGTGGAACTTAGTGGAGAAGTGTACCCGAGGGCCACTGTGACTCACCAGGAGGCTACTCACACCATACTTCCTGCCCCATCTCCTCCACCTTAACTTTATCATAATTCCTAATAGGACAAAGTTGCTTCTTTTTTATAATTTAGTGATATATTATGTAAGAATTATCACTGACTGCATTTCAGCAAATTTACAGGTGAACCCCATAAAGGAGATCCTTCATACGGGTCTTGCCTCCTCCAGGATCTTCCTCCACATTTTGTGATACATTTTTCTACGCACGTATTTTAGTAGTTATGGTGAATACTTTATCTCTTAACTCTACCTCAGGCTGTTACAGGAAACATAGACTTTTCATATATATATATATATATATATATTGTAACTCCCCACATAACTGACAGGGACCACGAGTGTGCATCAGGTAGATTTCCTTCTTAGGTATTGTACTTACATAGTGTTGCAAGGCCCTCTGCTACCATGCATTAGGTTACCGTCCATGTGGACCTACATTGTTATTTCAATGTTGAAGTAATGTAAAAAAAAAAATTCACGACATTATTTTTTGGTTGAAACAACATGAAGGAGCCGCCGGATACTGGATTTAAAACTCACTCCCTTGATAACAGTCAGTGAAGCTTATTCGTCCACACTGTTGGGTTGGGCGGCTGGTCTTGTGTGTTGTTACTAAGAGGAGTGGCTTTTTCTTGCCAGATTTCTCCAGTTAATAGTTCTTTAATTCAGGTGAAATTTATTGATACACATGATAGGTAATTAAGACAGGTAATAGGTTAATAATCCCGATAAATACCAGTTGTTAGCTAAATCATCTATGGTTAAGGAATAATCCAGTTAGTAGCTACATAACCCAGGTGGTAGGTGTATAATCCAGTTGGTAGGTAAAAAATTAACCCAGGTGGTAGGAGGAGAGTAATTACCATGTTAATTTGATAATCCACAGTGCCCCCCCCCCCAGCCCCATCAGGATAAAATCCTCCAGTTTGGTCTAATTTACCAGTAATAATCCTCGACATAATTACATGTATCATAATTATAACATCAGTATTATGAAAGTCAAGTTTTTTCCCATTAAAATAGTGTGTGATACTGATATAGGAAAGGACTCAATATACTATCCCGTGGTCCCTCCCCGCCTCTGGGATGGCTGTATATGCCAGTAGGACCATAACAATCCTACAGAACACAGTGCAATAGTCAGAGTTACTTAACATATTATAATATACAGGAGAACATTTGGTGATCCTTCTCACTATAACAGTACTCAACACTAGGTATGTAGAGAGAGAGCTACCATCATCAGTGTAAATGCCTCATGCTTCTGTCCAATCGCATTTTGAAGTTTTGAAGAAGTGTAGCGGCTGTAACGGTTATAAACGGTTCTAACGGTCCTGTGTGTATGCGCGCGAACAGGAAAACAAGTTGGGCGACATCTGCTTCTCCCTGCGTTATGTGCCCACGGCCGGCAAGCTCACAGTCGTCATCCTCGAGGCCAAGAACCTTAAGAAGATGGATGTCGGTGGCTTATCAGGTAAGCCTTTATGACTACAGTAATATGTTAAAACCAAAACCCTTAATTGTGTTTGAGTTAAGAACAAGCCGGTGTGTTCACTAAATCCATGAACATCAAAGTGGTTGTCGTGGTTTATCAGATACTGTAGGTGAGACAAAGCGACTGGAATGGTACAGTTCATCAAAGCCAGAATCTCTAGAGGAAATCTATAGCATAAATGTCAAGCCTGATGTAAATTAATTATTTTAATATATTAAAATATTCATGAAACACAAGCAGGTTTTCATTTTTATATAATATAATGGAGATTCAAGTTGATTAAAAGTATTTAGTCAGCCAGATGTGACGACAGATAGAGGGATTATCACAAGCTTCCTTAATTGAATTTCTTAAATATCAATGTCTTATTACTTGAGACTCCATTCCCTAAAGAAAAGCATCAACAGTTATCTACATTAAGAAGCTATTAACCTATGTCGTCATCACCTGACCACCGTAAACATTGATGTGTATGCTGGGGGTTAGGTTAAGTAAGGTTTTTTCCGAATATCCAACAAAAACACTGACAAACAAAATAGGACTTGACTTTGCCTTTATGTAAGTGGACACCTGTGAACGTATCAGGTAAGACTGTACAGTAATTAGATTGGTATGTAAACTAAAGCCAAATCTCTTGAGTAAGTTTATGTCTGTGGTTTATCAGAGACGAGTAAGTTGATATGCTCAAGTAGTATTGAATAGAGATGGAGTGGTTTAAGGAGTAAGTCCAACAGACCAATTTGGTCCTGAACGGCAGATTTGTGATCGTTCTTGTTATAAATTTGCACAGCCTTTGAAATTAATTGATGACATTTCGAAGTTTTCATTTAACACGTCCCTTGTGGGTAAATGTAACCTAACCTGGGCGAGTTAAACTTCATAGTGAACCCCAGAACAACATAGCCATAAGCACATGTTAACACTTCATCACTACATGGTTCTCACACATACTCTCACACCTCACAAGACCAACACCGTTCCCACACATCAGTAAGAGTTATCCTTGTATACAAAGCACCAAATTACAATACCACATAACACATCTCTACCTCAGTTTGACTTGCCCCTGTAGATCGCTTTATAAAGATCTGTCAGACTCATCATCTTTATATATGTTTGTCCATCAGTGTGTTATATTCATTTGTGTCCCTGCAGATCCCTACGTCAAGATCTGCCTCATCCAGAACGGCAAACGACTGAAGAAGAAGAAAACTAGCATCAAGAAGTGTACCCTCAACCCTTACTATAACGAATCCTTCTCCTTTGAAATTCCCTTTGAACAAATCCAGGTGGGTAAATACTTAGTTTGTTCCGGTAACTAACTACTGCAGGAAGCTGTTGCTTATGTGTTGTGGTGTAAAGACTAACTCCTACAGGTGGGTGTTGCTTATGTGTTGCGGTGTAAAGACTAACTCCTACAGGTGGGTGTTGCTTATGTGTTGTGGTGTAAAGACTAACTCCTACAGGTGGGTGTTGCTTATGTGTTGTGGTGTAAAGACTAATAAAGAGAAAACTAAGAGAATTGGAATTAATCTAAATGAGCTAAATAGAATTTGTTGAGATTTGGGAAATAATCTCAGTAGGGTAGTTTAGAATGTGTTATCATATTATTTTGGTATTACAATCCACCTTTTCTAACTGACCATTGTGTTTAATAATGAACAAAACTTGACATGACTTCATGACACAAAAAGTTTCTCAATTTAAGCTTATGACACAACCAACTTCTACATTTAAGCTTATGACACAACACACTTCTAGATTATAGTAAGCTTATGACACAACAAATTCCTCAATTATATAAGAATATGACACAACAAACTCCACCATTATAGTAAGCTTATGACAACAAACTCCACCATTATAATAAGCTTATGACACAACTAAATCCACCATTATAGTAAGCTTATGACACAACAAACTCCACCATTGTAGTAAGCTTATGGCACAAACTCTACCACTATAGTAAGCTTATGACACAACAAACTCTACCATTATAGTAAGCTTATGACACAACAAACTCCACCATTATAGTAAGCTTATGACACAACAAACTCTACCATTAGAGTAAGCTTATGACACAACTAACTTCATTATAGTAAGCTTATGACACAACAAACTCCACCATTATAGTAAGCTTATGACACAACTAAATCCACCATTATAGTAAGCTTATGACACAACAAACTCTACCATTACAGTACGCTAATGACACAACAAACTCTACCATTATAGTAAGCTCATGACACAACAAACTCCACCATTATAGTAAGCTTATGACAACAAACTTTACCATTATAGTAAGCTTATGACACAACAAACTCTACCATTAGAGTAAGCTTATGACACAACTAACTTCATTATAGTAAGCTTATGACAAACTCCACCATTATAGTAAGCTTATGACACAACTAAATCCACCATTATAGTAAACTTATGACACAACAAACTCTACAATTATAGTAAGCTTATGACACAACAAACTCCACCATTATGGTAAGCTTATGACACAACAAACGTCACCATTACAGTAAGCTTATGACCCAACAAACTCCACCATTATAGTAAGCTTATGACACAACAAACTCCACCATTTTAATAAGCTTATGACACAACAAACTCTACCATTATAATAGGCTTATGACACAGCAAACTTCACCATTATAATAAGCTTATGACAACAAACGCCACCATTATAATAAGCTTATGACACAACAAACTCCATCATTATAGTAAGCTTATGACACAACAAACTCCACCATTATAGTAAGCTTTTGACACAAACTCTACCATTATAGTAAGCTTATGACACAAAAAACTCCACCATTATAGTAAGCTTATGACCCAACAAACGTCACCATTATAGTTAGCTGAGGACACAACAAACTCCACCATTATAGTAAGCTTATGACACAACAAACTCCACCATTATAGTAAGCTTATGACACAATTAACTCCACCATTATAGTAAGCGTATGACACACCTAACTCCACCATTATAGTAAGCTTATGACACAAACTCCAGCATTATTGTAAGCTTATGACACAATTAAATCCACCATTATAGTAAGCTTATGACGCAACTAAATCCACCATTATAGTAAGCTTATGACACAACAAACTGTACCATTATAGTAAGCTTATGTCACAACAAACTCTACCATTATAGTAAGCTTATGACACAACAAACTCTACCATTACAGTAAGCTTATGACAACAAACTCTACCATTAGAGTAAGCTTATGACACAACTAACTTCACCATTATAGTAAGCTTATGACACAACAAACTGCACCATTATAGTCAGCTTATGACACAAATAAATCCACCATTATAGTAAGCTTATGACACAACTAACTTCACCATTATAGTAAGCTTATGACACAACAAACTCCACCATTATAGTAAGCTTATGACGCAACTAAATCCACCATTATAGTAAACTTATGACACAACAAACTCTACCATTATAGTAAGCTTATGACACAACAAATTCTACCATTATCGTAAGCTTATGACACAACAAACTCCACCATTATCGTAATTGTACAGCAAATTCTACCACTTAAGCTAATCACTCCACTATTAAAGCGTTGTTTACCACAACCTTACCATTATCGTAAGGCTTATGACACCAAACCCACCAAATAGTGAAATGACACAACAACCCACCATTATCGTAAGCTTATGACACAACAACTCCACCATTATTTAAGGTTATGAACAACAAACTCTACCATTATAGTAAGCTTATGACACAACAAACTCTACCATTGCCATGGCCAAACCACCATTAGTAGCCATGGAATCAACAAACGCCACCAATAGTGCTTTATGACACAACAAACTTCACCATTATAGTAAGCTTATGACACAAAACCATCCCAATTATAGAAAAGCTTATGACACAACAAACTACCACCATTATAGTAAGCTTATGACACAACAAATTCCTCACCATTATAGTGTATTTGAAACAACAAACTCCACCATTATAGTAAGTCTGGGACACAACAAACCCACCAGTAGGAAGTGCTTATAAACTAAACCACTATTATAGTAAGCTTATGACAGCAAACTCTACCATTATAGTAAGCTTATGACACAACTAACTCTACCATTATAGTAAGTTATGACACAAAACAAACTCCACCATTATAGTGTTATGACACACAAAACCAATAAAGCTATGACACAACAAACTCCACATTAAGTAAGCTTATGACACACAAACCTTTAGTTTAGCGACGACAATCCTACCATTTAGTAGTGTTTTGTTGAAAACGAACCATCATTAAAAGCTTATGACACAAACTAACGCATTATAGTAGCTTATGACCAACAACGTCACCATTAGTATAAGCTTATGACAACAAAACCCACCGAAAGTTCTATGACATAAAAACCCACCATTATAGTAAAGCTGACACAACAAACCCACCATTTTTTATATGTTAAACCACAAACTGCCAGGTAAGCCACCAAGGTATAGTAACCCGCCAAAACGTTCATTAGTGAAAGGCCAACTCTAACGTCACCATTATAGTGTTTACGACACAACAAACTCCACCATTATAGTAAGTTACGCAACAAACTCAACCATTATGAGCTTAACTCAACAAACTCACCATATGGTAGTTATGAATAACAAACCACATTATAGCTTATGACACAACAAATCCCAACCATTATAGTAAGCTTAGACATAACAAACCCACCATTATAGTTAGCTTATGACCCCGTCTTTTTACACAACAAACCCTACATTGCAAAAGAAAGCATGATGCCACAAAACCACCATTGTAGTTTAAGAAAACCCAACAAAGTGGCTTTACCATTATTGTAGCTTGACAAACCAATTATAGAAGTTATGACACAACTAATCAAACATTATAGTGCTTATAAACCTGCCAGTGTGTTTTATAACAAACGTCACCATTATAGTAGCTTATGACACAACAAACCCCACCATTATAGTAAGCTTATGACATAACAAACTCCACCATTATAGTAAGCTTATGACACAGCGAACTCTACCATTATAGTCAGCTTATGCAACTCCACCATTATAGTGTTTATGACAACAAACTCCACCATTATAGTAAGCTTATGACACAACAAACTCCACCATTATAGTAAGCTTTGACACAACCCACCACCACAGTATTCTTATGAACAAACTCTACCATTATAGTAAGCTTATGACACAACAAACCCACCATTATAGTAAGCTTATGACCAACAAACTCACCATTATAGTAAGCTTATGACACAACAAACTCCCCATTATAGTAAGCTTATGACAAAACAAACCCCATTATAGTGTTTATGACACAACAAACTCCACCATATATGCTGACAGCAGCAAAACTCCACCATTATTGTTTAAGCTACATACAAACAAACCTCATTATAGTAAGCGACACAACAAACTCCTACCATTATAAGCTAAGCCAAACAAACTCACCATTATAGTAAGCTTAAGACACAACAAACTCTACCATTATAGTAAGCTTATGACACAACAAACCCCACCATTATAGTAAGCTTATGACACAACAAACTCCACCATTATAGTAAGTGTTATGACCCAACAAACGTCACCATTATAGTAGAACAACAAACCTCACCATTATTATAGTAGGCTTATAAGCAAACCCACCATTATAGTAACCGACAACTAACTCCACCATTATAGTAAGCTTATGACACAACAAACTACCATTATAGGAAGCTTATGACTAAACAAACGTCACCATTATAGTTATGACACAACAAACTCCAATTATAGTAAGCTCTATACACAAAACCCTAGCTATTATAGCATGCTTAAAACCACCAAACGAAAAGCATTAAAGAGTAATTAAACTCTTCCTGTTTCAGCAGCACAACCCCACCAATAGAAAAGTTTAATGCAACAAAACCTACCATTATAGTAAGCTTATGACACAACAACCACCTTATAGTAAGCTTATGACAAACAAACCTACCATTATAGTAAGCTTTTGACACAAACTTACCATTAAAGCTTTGCCTAAAACTTTTCTTGTTTGTGATCAACAAACGTCACCATAGTAAAGTATTACACAACAAATTTTTTTTATACCAAACCTATTATAGTAAGCTTATGACACAACAACCCACCATTATAGTAGCTTATGACTCAACAAACGTCACCATTATAGTAAGCTTATGACCCAACAAACCCCACCATATAGTAGGATTTCGGAGCCCAAAACCACCTAAATTTAGTAAGATGTTCCAACTCCACCAGTAAGCTTTATAACACAAACTCCTCCATTATAGTAAGCTTATGACACAAACGAAATCTACCATTATAGTAAGCTTATGACACAACAAACTTTACCATTATAGTAAGCTTATGACACAACAAACTCTACCATTATAGTAGTTTCATGACACAACAAACTCTACCATTATAGTAAGCTTATGACACAACAAACTCTAGCATTAAAGTAAACTTATGACACAACAACTCTACCATTATAGTGCTTATGCAACAAACCTCGTACAAGCTGATTAGCACAAACTCCACCATTATAGTATTCTTATCACACAAACCCATACGTCACAAACCCATTATAGTAAGCTTATGACACAACGAGCTCTACCATTATAGTAACTAATGACACAACAAACTCTACCATTATAGTAAGCTTATGACACAACGATCTCTACCATTATAATAAGCTTATGACACAACAAACTCCAGCAGTATTATGAGTTGGCAGCACAACAAATTCTTTCAGTATCTAAGTGAAGTTAAACCACCATAAATCCCGTGGTAATAACATAAACTCTCCCAGTGGTGTTAATACTCCTGAATATTAGTGAGTAAACCTCCCAGTGGTGTTAACATAAAATAAACCTCCCAGTGGTGTAACATAAAACCCCCAGTGGTGTTAAATAAACTCTCCCAGTGTAAAGAAACAAAACTCCCAGTGGCACATAAAGTAAACTCTCCTAGTGGTGTTAACATAAAATTTCCCAGTAGTAGATAAACCTCCGAACCAAGAATCAAACTCTCCTGTGGTGTTAACTATAAAGTAAACTCTCCGTGGTGTTATGGCAAACCTCCCAAGGAAGATGATAAATAACCCTCCCCTGTGGTGTTCAACTAAAGTAAATCCTCCAGTGGTGTAATATAAAATAAGCTCGACATAAACTCTCCCAGTGGTGTTATCATAAAGTAAACCTCCCAGTGGTGTTAACATAAAGTAAACTCTCCTGCAGTGTAACATAAACTTCTATGGTGTTAACATAAAACCCCCAGTGTTATTAAATAAACTCTCCCAGTGGTGGTTAACATAAAGTAAATCCCAGTGGTATTAATATAAAATAAATCCTCCAATGGTGTTAACATAAAGTAAACTTCCCAGTGGTGTTAACATAAAGTAAACCTCCCAGTGGTGTTAACATAACCTCCCAGTGGTGTTAACATAAACTCTCCCAGTGGTGTTAACATAAACTCTCCCAGTGGTGTTAACATAAACTCTCCCAGTGGTGTTAACATCCTCAAGGAGACATAAACTCTCCCGTGGTGTTAACATAACCCCAGTGGTAAACAAATTCTCCCAGTGGTGTTAACAAACCCCAGTGGTGTTAACATAAACTCTCCCAGTGGTGTAACATAAACTCTCCCAGTGGTGTTAACATAAACTCTCCCAGTGGTGTTAACATAAACTCTCCAGCATGTTAACATAAAGTAAACCTCCCAGTGGTGTTAAATAACAAAAACCCTCCCAGTGGTGTTAACATAAACCTCAGTGGTGTTAACATAAACTCTCCCAGTGGTGTTAACATAAACTCTCCCAGTGGTGTTAACATAAACCTCCCAGTGGTGTTAACATAAACTCTCCCAGTGGTGTTAACATAAACTCTCCCAGTGGTGTTAACATAAACCTCCCAGTGGTGTTAACATAAACTCCCAGTGGTGTTAACATAAACTCTCCTGGTGGTGTTAACATAAATCCTCCCAGTGGTGTTAACATAAAGTAAACTCTCCCAGTGGTGTTACACATAACCCCAGTGGTGTCTACATAAACTCCAGTGTATAAACTCTCCGGTGCTAAACTCTCCCAGTGGTGTTAACATAAACTCTCCCAGTGGTGTTAACATAAAAAACTCTCCCAGTGGTGTTAACATAAACTCCCCAGTGGTTACATAAACCTCCCAGTGGTGTTAACATAAACTCTCCCAGTGGTGTTAACATAAAGTAAACTCTCCCAGTGGTGTTAACATAAAGTAAACTCTCCCAGTGGTGTTAACATAAACTCTCCCAGTGGTGTTAACATAACCTCCCAGTGGTGTTAACATAAACTTCCAGTGGTGTTAACATAAACTCTCCCAGTGAAGTAAATTCCTCCCATGGTGTTAACATAAACTTCCCAGTGGTGTTAACATAACCTCCCAGTGGTGTTAACATAAACCTCCCAGTGGTCTAAACCTCCCAGTGGTGTTAACATAAACTCTCCCAGTGGTGTTAACAAAGTAAACTTCCCAGTGTTGTTAACATAAATCGTATAACCTCCCAGTGGTGTTAAAAACTTCCAGATGAAACTCTCCCAGTGGTGCACAAACCCTAGTGGTGTTAACATAACCCCCCAGTGGTGTTAACATAAACTTCCGTGGTGTTAACTGTGTGCAACATAAACTCTCCCAGTGGTGTTAACATAACCCCAGTGGTGTTAACATAAACCCCAGTGGTGTTAACATAAAGTAAACTCTCCCAGTGGTGTTAACATAAACTCTCCCAGTGGTGTTACATAAACTCTCCCAGTGGTGTTAACATAAAGTAAACTTTCCCAGTGGTGTTAACATAAACTCTCCCAGTGGGTACATAAAGTAAACTCTCCAGTGGTACAAACTCTCCCAGTGGTGTTAATAAAAGCTCATAAACCTCCCAGTGGTGTTAACATAAACTCCCAGTGGTGTTAACATAAAGTAAACCTCCCAGTGGTAATAACAACCTCCCAGTGGTGTTAACATAAAAACCCCCAGTGGTGTACATAAAGTAAACTCTCCCAGTGGTGTTAACATAAAGTAAACTCTCCCAGTGGTGTTCATAAAGTAAACCTCCCAGTGGTGTTAACATAAACTCTCCCAGTGGTGTTAACATAAAATAAACCTCCCAGTGGTGTTAACATAAACCCCAGTTACAACCTCCCAGTGGTGTTAACATAAAGTAAACTCTCCAGTGGTGTTAACATAAACTCTCCCAGTGGTGTTAACATAAAGTAAACTCTCCCAGTGGTGTTAACATAAACCTCCCAGTGGTGTTAACATAAATCCCCAGTGGTGTTAACATAAACTCTCCCATGGGTAACATAAAGTAAACTCCCGTGGTGTTAACATAAACCTCCCAGTGGTGTTAACATAACCTCCCAGTGGTGTTAACATAAACCTCCCAGTGGTGTTACACATAAACTCTCCCAGTGGTGTTAATATAAACTCTCCCAGTGGTGTTAACATAAAATAAACTCTCCCAGTGGTGTTAAACATAAAGTAAACTTCCCAGTGGTGTTAACATAAACTCTCCCAGTGGTGTTAACATAAAGTAAACCTCCCAGTGGTGTTAACATAAACTCTAGTGGTGTTAACATAAATAAACTCTCCCAGTGGTGTTGACTAAAGTAAACTCTCCCAGTGGTGTTAACATAAAGTAAACCTCCGTGGTGTTAACATAAATCCCAGTGGTGTTAACATAAACCTCCCAGTGGTGTTAACATAAAGTAACCTCCCAGTGGTGTTAACATAAATAACTCTCCCAGTGGAACATAAACCCCAGTGGTGTTAACTCTAGTGGCACATAAAGTAAACCTCCCAGTGGTGTTAACATAAACTCTCCCAGTGGTGTTAACATAAGTAACCTCCCAGTGGTGTAAAATAAGACATAAACTCCCAGTGGTGTTAACATAAACCTCCCAGTGGTGTTAACATAACCTCCCAGTGGTGTTAACATAAACTCTCCCAGTGGTGTTAACATAAACTTCCCAGTGTAGAACCAGTGTGTTAACATAAACTCTCCCAGTGGTGTTAACATAAACTCAGTGGTGTTAACATAAACTCCCAGTGGTGTTAACATAAAGCAACTCCCAGTGGTGTTAACATAAGTAAACTCTCCCAGTGGTGTAACATAAACTCTCCCAGTGGTGTTAACAAGCAACCTCCCAGTGGTGTAACATAAACAAACTTCCAGTGGTGTTAACATAAAATAAACTTCCCAGTGTTAACATAAACCCCAGTGGTGTACATAAAGCAAACTCTCCAGTGGTGTTAACATAAACTCTCCCAGTGGTGTTAACATAAACTTTCCCAGTGAACATAAACCTCCCAGTGGTGTTAAAAACTCCAGTGTGTTAACATAACTCCCAGTGGTGCAAAACTCCAGTGGTGTTATAATAAACCTCCCAGTGGTGTTAACATAACCTCCCAGTGTGTTAACATAAAAACCTCCAGTGGTGTACATAAACTCTCCCAGTGGTGTTAAAAACTCCATAAGTAAACTCTCCCAGGACTTCCCAGTGGTGTTAACATAAAGTACTCCCAGTGGTGTTAACAACTCCCAGTGGTGTTAATACAAAGCAACCTCCCAGTGGTGTTAACATAAACTCTCCCAGTGGTGTTAATAAAGTAACTCTCCCAGTGGTGTTAACATAAATCTTCTAGTGGTGATAAAGCAAACTTCCCAGTGGTGTTAACATAAACTCTCCCAGTGGTGTTAACATAAAAAACTCTCCAGTGGTGTTAACATAAAGTAACCTCCCAGTGGTGTTAACATAACTCCAGTGGTGTTAACATAAACTCCTGTAAAGTAAACCTCCCAGTGGTGTTAACATACCTCCCAGTGGTGTTAAACTCTCCAGTGGTAATAACTCCCAGTGGTGTTAACAAACTCTGTGTTAAAATTCCCAGTGGTGTTAATATAACCCAGTGGTATAAACTGTCCCAGGACATAAACTCTCCCAGTGGTGTTAACATAAACTCCAGTGGTAAGTAACATAAACTCCCAGTGGTGTTAACATAAACTCTCCCAGTGGTGTTAATACAAAGCAAACTCCCAGTGGTGTTAATATAACTTCCGTGGTAATATAAACTTCCAGTGGTGTTAACATAAAGCAAACTCTCCCAGTGGTGTTAACATAAGTTCCGTGGTTAACATAAATTCACAGGTGTTAACATAAACCTCCCAGGAAAGAACTCCCCAGTGGTGTTAACATAACCTCCCAGTGGTGTGCACATAACTCCAGTGACATAAACTCTCCCAGTGTTAACATAAACTCTCCCAGAGTTATAAACTCTCCCAGTGGTAACATAAACTCCCAGTGGTGTTAACATAAACCTCCCAGTGGTGTTAACATAACCTCCCAGTGGTGTTAACATAAACTCTGTGGTACAACAACCCAGTGGTGTTAACATAAACTCTCCCAGTGGTGTTAACATAACCTCCCAGTAGACACAAACTTCCCAGTGGTGTTAACATAAAGTAAACTTTCCCAGTGGTGTTAATAAATCATAAAGTAAATCCCAGTGGTGTTAACAAACCTCCCAGTGGTGTTAACATTCCAGTAAGTACAAACTCTCGTGGTGTTAACATAAAGTAAACTTCCAGTGGTGTTAAATAAACCCAGTGGATTAAACTTCCATGGTGTTAACATAAACCTCCCAGTGGTGTTAACATAAAGTAAACTCAGTGGTGAACATAAAGTAACCCAGTGGTGTTAATAAATCAAACTCCCAGTGGTGTTAACATAAAGAAATGGTTAACATAAACTTCGTGGTAACTAAATACTTGTTCCAGTGGGTTAAAGAAACTTCCCAGTGGTGTTAATATAAAGTACCCCAGTGGTGTTAACATAAAGTAAACTTGGGTGTAATATACAACTTCAGTGGTGTTAACATAAACTCTCCCGTGGTGTTAAACATAAACTCTCCAGTGGTGTTAACACAACCTCCCAGTGGTAAGATACAACCTCCATGGTGTTAATAAACCTCCCAGTGTTGTAAAGTCCTCCCGTGTTGTAAACTTAAACACAACAAGCTCTTATAGTGTGACATGACCTTATGATAGGACGTCAGTCACACCCTATCATCTGAAGCTTCCTGCAGTGTGTGTGTCCGTCAGAAGCATGATCTTAATCCTACAGGCTTCTAACATGTTCGTTTTCCCCAAGCAGAAGGTGAACCTGCAGGTGACGGTGGTGGACTACGATAGGATTGGTACTTTGAGCCCATTGGTCGGTGTGTGCTGGGTATGAACGCGTCGGGCACAGAGCTGCGTCACTGGTCAGATATGCTTTCGACGACCCATCGCCCAGTGGCATACACTCATGATCCTGAGGAGGCCGATGCCATCCTCACGCAGAAATAAATAGGTTGGTGTCGTCATCGAGTAGTATGGTGACAGATACACTTCACCATACACTAACCTTAAATAATACTCCCATGGATAATAGAATTAAGAGCTGCAAGATTCCTGCCGTATTTCAAGTCATCTTCAGTGTCTTTGAGGATCACTTGAGATGTCTTCTACAGAAATCCATGTTTCAATTTGTCTTGGAAATTTAATGCGTAGTCCTATTCACTTGTGTATTGTTTGTTTTCTTTGTGATATAGGAACATTGTACATAATCATAAAGTTAACACTGACGTATTACTTTATTTTAACGGCTTTACATTTTTCAGTGAAGTCTGACTCAGTTTTATATTTGGAGTGTGATATTATTATACACTAGGCAAGTGATATTGGCTGCAGACAAATCTTACTTTTATGTACGTTGATAAACCAAATATACTGTATACATTTGTGTAAGTCCTTCCCCACTATGCTGCAGGCGGCCCGCATCAGGAGCAAAAACAGTCTCTCCTTCCACTCTTAACTGCCGTGACATAAACTACACTACTTGACGTGCACTGGTGCTTCTTGGATGACCATCTCGCTTCTGGTAGTTCTTCTGCATATCCTCTCCTTCATCTCAGAATTACATGTATTTTTTAATAAATCTTTGACTTCCATTCTCTTAATATGTTCATATCACCAATGTCTGACACTGCTTATTTTCATGTCTTCATCTAAGTTCTGTCATTCTGTGTATCCCAGTCTGATGCTTAATTGCTTCTTCCTTTTGAGTCCAGAGTCTGTTCTTCTCTCCTATATACTGTCGTAATATCAGCTCTACAGTCTTTATTATAGATCACACTGAACCTCCTGTTGCACTCTTACCTCTTACCTTCTCAACCCTGACGTGTGTTTTGTCCGCCAGGGAAGAGGCTGCAACACCTTGGGAGGATCAATAATGATTGTTATTCATATTTGTATTTGTTATTGGTAAGAGGACCTACAGTAATTTTCATGTATTACAGGTTGCTGTCATTGGTAGCCTGAGAGAGTGCAAGATGGCCTCAAACAAACCAAGGGGATTGATCCGAGTCTTCAGATATGTGGACATAACTATTAAGATACTGTGCTGGATCTATAAGACGGGACCGAATTCCTCATTATCAGCGAGCTGTGGTTCTTGATTTAACATTTCCTGTTATTAGACCAGGTGATAGTTGTATAAAAGCCCTTTCATGATATTTGCGACATGTTTGATGTATTTCAGGATTATCTACAATTTATAGTTAGGATGAAGAGGACGGTAGAGCTGTATGGTGTAGAATGAGTACAGTACTGACAAGTATACACTGAACTTCATGACTTAATACAAAGATATAGGAGATATTCCATATAATAATTAGATTAAATAGTTCAAACGTCACTTTTAGAGTGAACCATTTCAGGAGCTTTCTAGGAATTCGGTCAGAAGCCATCTTGCATGTTTTAAGACAAATAACATTGGAATGAGAAACTGAAAGTAAATTTCCAACACATTCTTAATCCTTGGAGAGAAACAGTCCAACACATTGTATAAAATAAACAAAGTATAAGTGACCAGAGCTGCAGCAACACAAGAATCCTCAGAGAAAATCAAACTCTTCTAAACCTTTTTTCTGAGCATGCTGGGTCTGGCTCCAACCTCTTAAGGGTTGACATGAACTTATTAAGAAAGTTAAGTCAAACCTTTTTTCAGAGGTTCAACTAAAGTCTTTAAAGTTGATTGAGTCAAATTTCTTAAAGGAATATGTCGAACCTTTTGTAAGGCGGGCATGTCAAACTTAAATTTAAAAGGTGTTTGTGGAACCTTTATCAAGAGGACTGAACCTGATATCTTTAAGAAGTCAGCAAGGACCAATTGGGGAGGTTGGGGCACCGGGCTGAGTGACGTTCATCATCTCTTACTGAGGTTGCCACACTTCGGTCTCTATAGGTTCTTCTGTAACACCTAAATCTTTCTGGTGTACTGATATCATCAACCTGGGTTTCCCCGCTCCCAAGATGACCCGCAGTGCGACTAGTGTTCAGCAGCTAGCTTTAAGGCCCAATTGATCAGTAGTCATCTATTTCTGGGGCCCACATGACTAGCTAACAGCTATATCTGAGGTCCAGTGGCAAGTAAACAGTAATTTCTGAGATCCAAATGACTAGCAAACAGCTATATCTAAAGTCCAGTAAACAGCTATATCTTGAGGTCCAAGTGACTAGTTACCAACTACTACTGAGGTCTAGTGACTAGTTGGGAACTATTTCTGAGGTCTAGGTGACTAGTAAATAACTAGTTAACCAGCAAACAGCTAGTTATAAGATCCAATTGATTGATGAGTGCTGTTTGTACTGATGATTAATTAAAACAGCCAAACTAGCTTCACCTGACTAGTCCTGCCTGAGACCAATACTAGCCACTCGGGGGCATCTCTGAGGAAGCGGCAGAAGCTGTTTTGTTGAATAGTGACAGTAGTAGATGTTGTTGTTGTTTATTTTAGTTTGACTTACTTTTGAGTAGTCAATTTTCCTTGATGCATATCTTGTCTGGTATGTGCATCCTGGCTTCAACCAAAGATTATGATTAAGACTATAGGGAGGTCAATTTTTAGCGGGTCTTAACAAGAGTCTACTTCACCAAGGGGAGGCTCTGTCTGGTCCAGTCAGAGTCTGCCCCACGATTTGATATTTAAAAATGTCTCAACTTCTTTCTGGTCTGTACTCGCCTTAGGAGAGAAACTAAGAAGAACATTTTGACCATAAATGTTCTGTATAAGAGTAAAGGGATCTTTTTACCCCAAAGCATAGACTAAAGCGTCTGTATACTGATTCTTTATCAAGAACATGATTATCCGAAATGTTGCTTGTGCTGGGCTGTATCTTGTGTTATATCAAGTGAGAATTTACATTTGTGTAATGTTATGTATATATATATATATATATATATATATATATATATATATATATATATATATATATATATATATATATATATATATATATATATATATATATATATATATATATATATATATATATATATATATATATATATATATGTAGTGAATATGGTTTACTGCCTCAGATAAGCAACATTTTGGATAATAGAGTGACGTCAGTGTTCATGCTAGCCAATGAGAATTTGAATCTGCGTTGTGTTTGCGAGTTAGCATTTGCAGTAGTGTTTTGGTTAGGCTTTCATAAACTTTTGAGTCAAGAGAAATCATTCATTCATTTTATATGTCTGCTATGTTTTGGAAAGTAAATGTTTATATTACAGGATATGTAAACATATATAAACATTGACAATGTTCCATTATAAAGATGAATGTACAGTAACATAATTAGGTCTATCTACTTACTCACACATGCTCTTCTTCTTCTAGACAGCAGACATAATAAGTATGGCTGAGAACAACCCCGTATTACGGTCTTTTCCATGTTTTCATGTGTATCTTCTGACCTTTAAGCAGGACAGCCGTGGGTTCAAGGTGCCATATGGAATTTATATATAATTTATATGTTGACTGTTTAACTCCTATGATAGTGTATGTTTTATCAAACCCCTGTGATTCGTTGGATCATTAATTATTACTGTTGAGCCTTTTAACTAGTCCTTTGATAGGAATTATCGAACAAAAATAGTTTGTAACAGTGTAAAAACTTAGCCCAGGGTGGGGAGAATAACTTGTATAGTATACGCCCCACACTCCATAGGAACTATCCGTATTTACACATATTCTGCCTTTATAAAATTATTTTGGCTTATAAAGATTTTCATTTTATCTGTGGAAAGTCCATTTTAATCCCATTTTGATTGGCCGAATTTGTGGTGATAGGCCATAAGACCTGGAGATAGCAGGGAACGAGTTGATAGCTAAGCCCCTGTGATGATGTGGCCTGCTGAGACTCCGTGCCAGTCAACCAAATAAATTATATGACATGGCTGTCCATAATTATCTGAAACACTGTGATTACGTGGCCTGCTGAGACTCCTATTCTGTGATTGGTTAACCATATAAATTCTATGGCATCTAATCCGTAATTGGCTAAGAACCCTGTGATGATGTGGCCTGCTGAGAGCCTCATAGCTTTGTGATTGGCCACCCATATGTGATGTGGCAATCCACGATTGGTTGCCTGTTATCTCTTTATCTTGGGCATGATATCCTATTGGAGGAGTGTGGGGCCGTGCTCTGTGTTGTTAATATCATGTGCCGATCATCTCATATCAGATGGGGACGGGGCCGGAGCGCCTCTCAACAACAGTCCACATCCATCGCCTCATTTAGCTTTATTGTAGACAAATTCCAAGTCCAGTCCAGTCGATAATGATCAGACACACACACACACATACACACCGCTTTCTTGAACCCAATCCTCAGAAGAACTCGGAGGAGTCGAGACTCGAGAAGGCATGACCAATCTTCCAATTTTTTTCTATACCTTCCTTATGGTTTGCCCCGCGGTGTCATCTTTGGAAGGGGGGGACATCTCTAGTGATCATTAAACAGTCTTCTTTGGGGATTAACTAAGGTATTTGTTTCATTGATTTTAGAACTTCATTAGAGTTTCATACACAGTATGTGTTGGGGATTTATCTAAGGAAGGCTTCGTCGGAGTTCATCTAAAGGGACATTTTTTTAGATTCATCTCTGGGATTCATCAAGGGAGGGGCCTAAGTCTTCATTTTGCGTTAGGGTTTTATCTAAGGTAGGAGTCTCTGCAGGTTCAGCTTTTGGGGAGGAAGGCTATTCATCGGTCTTTTAAAGGTTCATTTAAGGGGACTTTCCAGGGTTCCTATAAGGGGGGGGAGGGCTGGCTTTCATATCTTCAGCTGTGGACGGGACAGGGGAGAGCATGACCTGACTTGGGGTCACCTCTGCCAGGCTTGAGTCAATGGATAGCTCTCTTGTCTAGGATATAATCAGGGATTCCCAAGAGCTTTCCAATGGGGTGCCATCCTTTGTCTTGACCCAAATTATTTCTCTCATTTTTACTCATTCTTGTTTATTCATCAGCTGTCTGCCAAAACTCTTATTGTTGATTTCACATTTGATGATGTGACTTTTCCTTTCTGTTCCACTCATTACTTTCTTGTTTCTTTAATTCGAATGGTTCGACTTTCACTCTGCCTCCTCCGTCTCCCACCTCTCACTCTGCCTGTCCTCCATCTTTCACCTCGTACTCTACCTCTCCTCCAGTCTTCCTACGTGATCAGTTCTCCCCTTGTAGAAAAAAAATCACTGACTTTTCCTCCTCTGTGTTAATGCTTCCTCAGAACTTCGCCAAATAACTAGTACATTGGTATGCTGTCTGTCACAACTTGAAATTTTTCTAAAGGTTTGTTATGCTAACCTTCCTCAATGTCATTGCTTTGTGTGTCTATACTTCTGTATAAAAGTGTATGTATGTAACCTATGTGAGAGCATGGCCGAGGCCTAATACAGTGAATCCACTGCATTATAAATATATTATTTTCTGATACTGTTTGTGGCGTAAATGTAATATATAGCAAAAAAAAAATTATGACTAATCTCTCCCTTGGAAATGATCCTGATGTCCATTACTCAGAAGAGATAAAGTCCAAAAAACAAGTGACAGACGGCATTCAAGAACCTTGTAGGATCCAGTCTTCGTCATCATCACTGGCGCCATTCTTCAACTGGGTCGGATACTATATAATGTAAAGATATGGAATTAAAGTCCTTTTAACCTCTTTTTATGGCAATCTTTGCAACAGAATGGTGTTCATAGCATTAAATTTCTAGCATAGTAGATTTGGCACATTTTTTTTTTTATCACAAGAGTAATTCTAGTAATATATGAGTCACGTGATTAGAGATTTTTAGATCTTGAGGGAAAAGTCGTCAATAAAGCTAATGAATAAGTTGACTTGAGAGAGTGGAATATGAGCCTTATTGAAGATGGACTTAAGGGTCGAAAAGAACTAGTCACGTCACGGATGATACGACCCTTTCCCCCCTACGTCTGGTTCGGCCTACACTCATCTCCCACTCCTAAGTAAATAAAACAAAAAATTCCTGTGCAACTCCACTCTTGTTCTGGTAACAGTTGGGGATTTTGTTGGCCTTTATTTGAGAGCTTATGGTTTATATTTCACATAATATAAACAAACCTTTTCGTGGCATTAGTCCTCTCCAAGTAATGTTTAATGTAGATATGAAATGATCACTTGAGGAGTCACTAACTCTTGCTAGCACGTAGAGACAAAAACTTCGACTGAGATGTGACCGAGAGTGGAGTGTCGGGGCGTCTGTGTCATGTGGATGGTTGTACGTACAAGTCTGTAAATTCTGTGCTCACGTGAGGAATGCATCATAATATATTAAATCCTGGCTGTCTTGCATGTCTCACACCTCATCCTGGGTCGTGACTGCAACTCTTTGCACCAGAATCATACCGTTAAAGCCAGCAGTTGTTGCCTTGTACATATAATCCGACCGGTATCTGTCACAGATGTTTTAAGCTGTAGTGAGCGTTACAGACCCGGGGTGAAGGTTGGCAGCAGCACGGCAGCATCGCAGCAGCAGCAGATTCTATATAAACATTGCGAGAGCCAAGTCGCTCAACATCCAAACACATAAACAAAATGCATCCCTTTGTTTGCTTGGTTGTTTGGATTTACAGGAGGTGGATACAAGTGTTGTTTGTTTAGATATGTTACATATGGATTAGGCACGTGAACTATCTTCTTACAGAGCGGCAAGTCCTAACCTCGAGTTGTGTAAAAACATTAGAAATAACAAACAATAAAATGTAAGAAAATAATACCTATATGTTTTTACTTTCATCCCCTCCTCTAAGTTACTTAAACCAACTGATATTCACATCATTTACCGATGACAGAATGGACAGTCTGAGAGCTGTCCACAACAACTTGGTACAACAGCCAAAATTCAGAAACTTGTACAATGTTACATGAGTACTCATAACCATGCCAAGAATATATCAACACAGAAAAGGACGCTTCCCTCAGTCCGAAATATATTCCCTTCATTCTCTTCTGTACTGTACTGTGCTGTACTGTACTGTTCTGTACTGTACTGTTCTGTAGTGTACTGTTCTGTACTGTACTGTACTATTATGTACTGTACTGTACTGTTCTGTACTGTACTGTTCTGTAGTGTACTGTTCTGTACTGTACTACTATTATGTACTGTACTGTTCTGTACTGTACTGTCTGTTCCTGTACTGTTCTGTAGTGTGTACTGTTCTGTACTGTACTGTACTATTATGTACTGTACTGTACTGTGCTGTACTGTACTGTTCTGTACTGTACTGTTCTGTAGTGTACTGTTCTGTACTGTACTGTACTATTATGTACTGTACTGTACTGTTCTGTACTGTACTGTTCTGTAGTGTACTGTTCTGTACTGTACTGTACTATTATGTACTGTACTGTTCTGTACTGTACTGTACTGTTCTGTACTGTACTGTTCTGTAGTGTACTGTTCTGTACTGTACTGTACTATTATGTACTGTACTGTACTGTGCTGTACTGTACTGTTCTGTACTGTACTGTTCTGTAGTGTACTGTTCTGTACTGTACTGTACTATTATGTACTGTACTGTACTGTTCTGTACTGTACTGTTCTGTAGTGTACTGTTCTGTACTGTACTGTACTATTATGTACTGTACTGTTCTGTACTGTACTGTACTGTTCTGTACTGTACTGTTCTGTAGTGTACTGTTCTGTACTGTACTGTACTATTATGTACTGTACTGTACTGTGCTGTACTGTACTGTTCTGTACTGTACTGTTCTGTAGTGTACTGTTCTGTACTGTACTGTACTATTATGTACTGTACTGTACTGTTCTGTACTGTACTGTTCTGTAGTGTACTGTTCTGTACTGTACTGTACTATTATGTACTGTACTGTTCTGTACTGTACTGTACTGTTCTGTACTGTACTGTTCTGTAGTGTACTGTTCTGTACTGTACTGTACTATGTACTGTACTGTACTGTACTGTACTGTGCTGTACTGTACTGTTCTGTACTGTACTGTTCTGTAGTGTACTGTTCTGTACTGTACTGTACTGTACTGTACTGTACTGTACTGTACTGTGTACTGTACTGTACTGTTCTGTACTGTACTGTTCTGTACTGTACTGTACTACTGTACTGTACTGTTCTGTACTGTACTGTACTGTGTCTGTACTGTACTGTACTGTTCTGTGTACTGTACTGTACTGTTCTGTACTGTGTACTGTACTGTCTGTACTGTACTGTACTGTACTGTACTGTACTGTGTACTGTACTGTACTGTACTGTACTGTTACTGTTCTGTTCTGTACTGTACTGTACTGTACTTCTGTACTGTACTGTACTGTACTCTACTGTACTGTTCTGTACTGTGTACTGTCCTGTTCTGTGTACTGTATACTGTACTGTACTACTGTTCTGTACTGTACTACTGTACTGTACTGTGTACTGTACTGTACTGTACTGTACTGTACTGTACTGTTCTGTACTGTACTGTACTCTGTACTACTACTGTTCTGTACTGTACTGCTGTACTGTACTACTTCTGTACTGTACTGTACTGTACTGTACTGTACTGTTCTGTGCTGTTGTACTACTACTGTGTACTGTTCTGTACTGTACTGTACTGTACTGTACTGTACTGTTCTGTACTGTACTGTTCTGTGCTGTACTGTACTGTACTGTACTGTACTGTACTGTACTGTACTGTTCTGTACTGTACTGTATTGTTCTGTACTGAACTGTACTATTCTGTACTGTACTGTACTGTACTGTGCTGTACTGTACTGTACTGTACTGTTCTGTACTGTACTGTATTGTTCTGCACTGAACTGTACTGTTCTGTACTGTACTGTTCTGTACTGTTCTATACTGTACTGTTCTATTCTGTACTGTACTGTTCTGTTCTGTACTGTACTGTACTGTTCTGTACTGTACTGTACTTTTCTGTACTTTTCTGTATTGTACTGTACTGTTCTGTACTGTTCTGTACTGTTATGTACTGTATTGTACTGTTTTGTACTGTTCTGTACTGTTATGTACTGTACTGTACTGTTCTGTACTGTACTGTACTGTTATGTACTGTACTGTACTGTTCTGTACTGTACTGTACTGTACTGTACTGTATTGTATTTTTCTGTACTGTACTGTACTGTTTTGTACTGTACTGTACTGTTCTGTACTGCACTGTAGTCTACTGCACTGTACTGTTCTGACTGTGTTGTGCTGTTCTGTACTGTACTGTTCCGTACTGTACTGTACTGTACTGTACTGTACTGTACTGTTCTGTTCTGTTCTCTGGTTTCCTCCTGTATTAACACTGGACAATAAAAGTCATAACAAAGTACAGACAAACCGCCTAATGGTTAGTCAGCTGATAAGTGTTGAAATGATAAATATTTGAAAACTAGAAACTGTGGCACAGGATCTGTTGATTGGTCTTAATCTTACCTTTAGTCGGCGCTGATACAGCTGAGGGCATAATGTAATACCCACAGTAATATCACATTGAACACATAGTAGTACCACTGAAAATCAGAAGTAGAACCGCCAAGGGTTCACACTGGTACTGCCATGGTACGGCTGAGGACCCATGGTGGTACCGCTGAGGAGTGAGAACCCACGGTGTTACCGCTGAGGACCCACAGTGGTACCGCTAAGGACCTACAGTGGTACCGCTGAGGACCCACAGAGGTACCGCTGAGGACCCACAGTGGTACCGCTAAGGACCCACAGTGGTACCGCTGAGGACCCACAGAGGTACCGCTGAGGACCCACAGTGGTACCACCATGGACCCACGGTGATCCCACCAAGAGTCTACAGTAATGCTCATGCACAGGAACCACAAGGAACTAAGGAACCTAACCTGACAACACTGTACTGTACCTGACCATACCCGACCCTTTGATGAATGTACAGTACGCAAGGCAACCATTACAACTACAAGTTGAACGGCTCTAACCACTTTGGCAATTTATAGGTTCAAAACAAAGCCTAGAATATGATATTTTGACCTAAGTCTTCCTGTTAAAAGTGAACACGAAGACACATGAACACAGATGTAATAAAAATACTCGTTATAAGATGGGATGTCTAACATGAATGAGGGTGAAACTAACCAGAATATACTCAGGTGTGGTCATCTGGGGGTCAGGCATGTGGCCAGTAGCAGTGAGGTAAATAGTGCAGTATATGGAAACATTGCAATTATGTTAATTCAACAAGATTATTGAGCAAAGCGATATTGACAGCGTATACTGTCCATATTGACGTAACTAAGTTTATTATATGACTTATATAAGACATGAAATTCAAAGAGTTCTTGATTCAAGGAAAATTCAATAATAAAAATTTACGATTTGGATATGAGGAAAACGTAATAAAAATTACGGTTTAATGTGAGTTATCAACGTTTACTATAGTTATTTTCACGAAAATGAAGTTTATAAAAATCAAATCTCTAGGAAAAAATAATGTTTTATACCTACAATGAAAACCTGATATAACCAGACATGTTTTCCCATTTTTCAATTATTACAAAATGTGACTATCCCTTAAGGCAGTGCTTTTCAAACTTTTTTTACTGCGACCCACAGCCAGAACAACAATTTGAATTGCGACCCATTAAACCTAAGTGTAATGACATGAAATGCGCAAAACGGATGACATGAGAGGTAAAGAAAGAATCAGGAAATGCTCTCCTTGCAGTCGCTTCCTAGACTGTGGAGTGTACATAACAATAACCAAGCCTAAATTATGGTGCATTTATTTTTATTTTCTTATTTATTTTCGCGACCCATTTTTATTTTGCGACCCAATTTATTTATTTCGCGACCCACTGAAGGGTCGGGACCCATAGTTTGAAAACCCCTGCCTTAAGGCATACGCTTCCCGCATTGTCAGTATCTATTAAATGTATACTTTATTCTTTACTTTATCCTTTTCGCCGCCGATCGGCCTGTTAGCCACGTGGGCGGTCGGTCACATCTTTGCTAAGCACCGCTTAGTTTAAGTTTAGTTATCCTCTTCGCCACTATGACCAGCTACTTTTCCATAGGCTATATAAATTTCATTTCTTCTATTACATATTTACTTCACTTGAGAGTTCCCGCCAATTTTAAGCCAATAGTATGAAGCCCTTAGGCCTGTCTTCGACCAATGAGAAAGCCTATGAGGTGTGACGTCATGAAAGTTTTGGCGTCCCTTGTGGGCTCACTGGGTTTGAATAGAGGAGTCTGCGTCTGGTAAGAGTTAAGTGTGGGTGTCACCTCCTCATATGGCGGCTATAACGTGAGTACCTATTAGGTTTGATCCGTTTCCCGAAATGTATTGTGAGTAATGGACCCCTTGGTTAGCAAGCTAGGAATTTAGGTTTATTGCAGTAATACGGTGATTCCTATATACTGCATATAATAACTGTCCAATATTTCCCCTCTGTGAAGTATTGATATCTTAGTCCCTCTAATCAGCTTCCCTGAATCTCCCCTTGGTGTAGGCCTTTCTAGCCTAACCACAAACCGTTAGTCCTGTACTCCCCTCCCCTCACACCCCCTCCTCTAACGTAAACAATCACCTCCCTCACCCTCTCCACCTCTCACGAGTATAAAGAGAAAGAAGGATAAGTATATAAATAAATAAGTAAATAAATATAAAGAATTGAAAAGACAATAAAAGAGAGTAAGTTGTAACATAAGGTATGTTCGAAATAAGGCAAACAGAGTATTGGGTGTTATATCTAGAAGTAACAAGAGTGCAGAGGTCTTATTGCAACTATATCTTGCGCTAGTCAGGCCGCACCTCGATTATGCGGTTCAGTTCTGGTGGCCTTATTATAGAATGGATATAAATTCACTAGAGTCGGTGCAGCGAAGAATGACTAAAATGATTCCGGGACTTAGAAACCTTCCATATCAGGATAGGTTAAAGAAACTTAACTTGCATTCCCTAGAAAGACGAAGAGTGCGGGGAGATATGATAGAAGTATTTAAGTGGGTGAAAGGAATCAATAAAGGGATATAGATAAAGTTCTTATAATATCCGAGCAGGATAGGACTCGGAGCAACGGATTCAAGTTGGATAAGTTTATCGGGTTTAGGAGGGAGATAGGAAGAAACTGGTTCACAAATAGGGTGGTGGACGAGTGGAACAAGCTTAGCAACTTTGCAGTAAGTGCTGGAACGCTGGAAAGTTTCAAAAGGAGGCTAGATAGATTCATGGATGATAGAGAGTGGTAGTAACTCTCGACAGGAGCTGCCATGCACAGGCCAACCGGCCTATTGCAGACTCCTTATGTTCTTATGTTCTTATTGTGAGTTTCCTTTCTCCATCCCATCCTGAGTGAGAACCCAAATATCCCGTACCCCACAAACCCAAACATCTCGTACCCCACAGTACACAAACTAAAGAAAGTTAAGCCAAACGACGTGCAAGTGATTACCAGGCTATTATAAGGCTTGCATCTGTTCAGGTACTGGGCATACCCTGTATGCATATGCAATTTGTGCTTTTGCGAAACAGTTCAAACACTACCTAATATAACATAAAAGACAGCTAAATATAGTCAGCTTGAAGGTTTCGGACGCATGACAGACGCAAATGTGTGTGATGTTGAGGGTCAAGATCGCCAATGTTAAAAATATTCTTATAACGGAACCACTGTTAAACTATTTTTGAGCAAAAATTGAAAATACATATCTAAATTAAACTAAGTCAATATATAAAATGGTATTTTTGAATAGTTAATATTACAATTACTAGGTTAATGGCAGTAAAGATTTCCTCTTCGTGGTAGGATCTCAACATTATTCCTATATCCAGCTAAGCTACGCTAAGCGCTTCGCTGAATAACTGAGCTGAGTTGTAACTTGAGGGAAGCGGTGAAGGCAAGGTGAGGTGACCTGGTGGAAAGAGTTTTATTTCTCCTGGCACCTGTATTCCTCGCGTAGCCGAGCTGAGGTGAGTCACACACGAGGGCCAGGCGATGCAATGTCTGTGAAGCTCAGAAAGTTGAGGGATGTGAAGGAGACGCCAGAGTTGTGAGTTTGTCTTTGTGTTGACGGGAGGAACAACACAAGTACTGTAGTGTTTGTGGTTTGGTAATATTATTGGTTATTAACGCTTGGTATAATACGCAGGTGATTGACGCAAAATTTGACTACATTAATGATTGATTACCGAAGACAGCTTGTATAAATGTATAAATTATCTATGCACCTGAAAAATCAATACTGTACCGGTACATTATTACTTTGCATTCAGAAAGCTTGTTATATTTCAGTTAAATAATTAAATGTTATATTTCAGTTAAATCATTATTTAAGTTTATATGGTTCAGCATGTTCATAAACATTACTTGTATAAAATCAAGGTAAAGTATCAGTTGTTGCCACTATACGAAATCGAAGTTGAAACTTATGTTTTTCCTATGGTTTTGATGTTTTATGAACACATTTGGGTATTATTTCACTTGTTGCCACCAAATGAATCTCGGGAATTTTATAGTTGCAAACATTAGTTTTGACAACTCAAAGACTTTTTTGGTTAATGTGGAGGGCTTCACAGCCACTTCCTCTATCTCATTAACAGTAAGTTCCCTCATGGCAGGTGTTAAGTTATGCTAGGTTAGGTTAGGTTAACTTAACTTGAAAGTAAACACTTTTTAATACATTTGTCATAACTATGACAGTGTCCACTATAAAATGCGGTGAATATGTGGCATATTTAAATTCGTTTTCTATAAAAAATCAGCGGATGTGAAGTTGTAAATAATTACCCATTTTTCTTAAATGGGTTTGATTCCAATAGTTAAATTCCTAAGATTCCCTGGATGACCGAAACTAAAATAATGCCTGATTTATGATCGTAGATAGTAAAAAAAAAAAAAAAAAAGTTAGGATTCATTTTAGGTGGATCAGGGAACTTTATATATCTATTTATATAGGGAGAAATAGAGAAAAAAAGGTCAATTTGTAGTTTCGACCAACCATGGCTCTCGAGTTGAGCACCGTGTTTTCTGATGGTTTAGACAATTTTAAGACACCTTTCTTCTATGACGTTTCCTTCTTAAATGACTTATATATGTTTGCGGACCCTGCGGGGTAGAACCCCCCTGTTAGGGGGTGAGGTTAAGTAATTTTTGAGTAATTTGCGAGGGAAACATCATGGAAGAAAAGTCTCTTAGAATTGTCTGAACTAAAGGCAACACACATTTTATAATAAAAATTCCATGGTTGGTCAAAACCACAAATTGGCCAAAAAGAGAAATGCTTTATTCTACGTGTATTACATTTCTACCATAAATCTATATTTTTCGAGTATTTAAAGCAATATTACCAACATGATTGGTTTTTCAAAGTGGGCAGGGCTTTGATTTGAAAAACCTTACCTAACCTTTCCTAATCTATAAAAATCTTTAAAAAGGCTTAGCTTAATCTTGCTTTTGGTGTTTAATAAGTGATGGTGCTGTTTTCGGTGTTCAGATGAGGAGGGGGGGGGGGACCTATAAACACAAAAGCAATTCTTAACCTTTTTATAGGTTAGGAAAGGTTGGCTCAGGTTTTCAACAGTTTGTTTAGTGTTCTGTTTAGTATTTTACCCTACATTTTCCCTTTACTTCAAAGTCCTGCCCACTTTGAACAACTAATGTTGTTGGTAATTGGTTAAAGTACGCAAAAAAAATGCACCGAAAATGTAATAAAATACAGGATGTAAGGTATTTAGTTTCTTTTTCTCTCTACCATATTAAATAGAAATACGGAGTGGCATGTTTGACCTAAAATTAATCCTAACCAAAAATACTTATACGACATGTATACGTTCCTGGACCCTAATCATAATCGATTTATTGGTAAGTCAGAACAGTGTTAATTCCATTGTTTAGGTTAGGTTAAAGCACAACCTTGCTCAAACAAAACAACAGTACTATCTCATACTTAACAAATAATGTAAATGTTGTAAATAAATGTTAGCACACTTTTTTTAGGCATAAAAAATCATAATAGTGTATTGCTGGCATAGGTGCACATCTATTTGCCTACAGTACTACACATACTAAAGGATCACTTCATTTCCCCAGCATCACTACTGTATAAATGGTGTTTCCTTGCACTGTAAGTTGCATATTTGTAACCTTTTGGTCCGACTAATTACCCAAATGTACCCAAATATAGCCGCAGTGAGGTCAAATAATGGTCCTACATGAATAAATCGGACTGCCAATCACTTCTCGACTAGTATTTGGTGTCACAAAGTCACCAAAAATTGGAAAACTTACTTTAATCTGAGTTAATAGATCGCGTGCTTGTACCGAGGGAGCGAGTAATTACCCAAATGTAGTCGCAATGAAGTCAAATGATGGTCCTACAAGCGTAAATCGGGCTGTGAATCACTTCTCGACTATTTTTTGGTGTCATAAAGTCACAACAAATTGGTAAACTTAATTTGATCTGAGTTGTGTTAGGTTAGGTTAGGTACATGCACTCGATCTATTAACTCAGATTAAATTAAGTTTACCAATTTTTTGTGACTTCGTGACACCAAATACCAGTCGAGAAGTGATTGGCAGTCTGATTTACGCTTGTAGGACCATTATTTGACTTCATTGTGGCTACATTTGGGTACATTTGGGTAATTACTTGCTCCTTCGGTACATGCTCGCGATCTATTAACTCAGATTAAATTACGTTTTCCAATTTTTTTTTACTTTGTGATACCAAATACTAGTCGAGAAGTGATTGGCAATCCGATTTATTCTTGCAGGACCATTATTTGACTTCATTGCTGCTACATTTGGGTAATTAGTCGGACCCGTAACCTTTACATACTGTAAGAATATTTTGTGAAAATATGATTCTAAGCCAAATACAGGTACAGTACAGGGTACTGTATCTTTATTTAGGTTTGGAACTGAAGAAAATAAAACATTATCATTTGTGTAAGTTCATAAGTTACATACTGTACCAAAGTAAACAGTCAATATAAAAGAGAGGGGGATACAGTACCTTAATGGTTTGAATTTCAATTTAAAAGAGTTTCATAATCAGGTGGTGACCAGATGATACTTGAATTTTTCATGTTACATAGATTCACATTAAACATGCATGTGAATGAGTCTGACTTTGCTCACTATTGCTGATATGAGAGGCTACAACTTTAAATAATTTATGACATGAACCTAACTGACATACCCTTACTTGAAGAATAACACAAAGCAAAAGCCTAAACTTTGATATACAATATTACTGTATTGTACTGTACTTGGACATTAATCTACAGAATGTACAGTTGCTAAGAATGATGTGATGACATGTCCCCAAACATATAAAACTTTACTGTACAGTTCTCCTCCTCATTATGGTACTCATTTTCTGCTGTTATTTTAGCACTGTTATTGTTGTCATTTATAAAACAAATGAATGTACAGTATTGTGTCATGAGTCTGCTTTTTTCCCAGATGGCAGTTGAATTATACTTTCATTATTTCCAAGCAATTTACAGGGCTTTTGAAAGAGGATCAGTAAATATTGATCATTCAAAAAAGCATTACATGTACAGTATCTGTAATTATATTTATTACTTATAATGTATAATATACTTGACATATTTTCTCTATTAATAGCTGTGTGATTTCATATTTTTCTTGGGTTTACTTCATCTTAATGAGAGGTGAGACAAAGTATTGTACTGTACCAGTAAATTGTTAGTGTGCCAGTTGTCTACCGTGATACTGCTGTACTATGGTACTGTATTTGATTGTAGTTGACATTTATATTTCTTTATCTTGGATGCATTAGAAATTCCTATCACTTTAAAAAGACTCATCTTTTTGATACAGCATTTTGTTAAATTGATGGGAAGTTGCATTTTTTCAGATGCTGGTTGTTTTGTTGATTGAATTTGACAATACAGCTCATTATATTCCATTTTGATATTTCAGTTAGTAACTAGGTTGACAGCACTAAAGAGGTGAGTAGCCTTTGTCTGTACAGTATTAATTATCACTTGAGTGTTTGTTGACATTTATTACAGAGCTTGTATTTAATTGAAACCTTTTTCTTGATAGTTCATAATGTGGTTTCTTGCCCTTGTAAGGTTTGGCACAATCCATCCTGTTTTGGCACAATAATTTTTACACTGTTGGTCTTCCAGTCTGGCACTTATCACTGAAGCACAGTGTGTTCCTTCGTGGAATTGCTACACTAATACCGTCTTCCTAGCCCCAGAAACTTTTCGTATATATTAGTTTGTTACTACAGTAATTGATTTTGTGTGGTTATATTTACATTATGGAGTGAAGTGGCAAAATGATACATCACTTGCCTCCCATCCTTAGAGTTTCTGGTTCATACCCAAGGAACTTTTAGCTTACCCAGCCATGAATGGGTACCTAACCTTACACTTGGAGACGTGATGACATTCAGTTGCAGTGCTGGCCACACTGCCCCCTTGTCTCTCCAAAAAGGCCCGTTACTGGCCATGAGGCTTTTAGCACCCATTTTCATATACACATTGTACTGTACCATATTTTACAGCATATAAGACACACTTTCTTGTCTGAAAAATGGCAAAAAAAAAATCTGCCTGCGTCCTATATGTGAAGTTGCGATCTCCCGCAAGCTAATGAATCCCCCAGTTGCTGCCTCCAGTAGGCTAAATTCTACCTAACCCAACTCCAGAATTAAAAATGTTATTGCTTACTTAAACATATTATTATTGTTTAATTAATTAAAAAATAATTATTTTATGTATAAAAGGTCGATCTATAACTACTCTGTACTGTACTGATGACGATAACCTGAGACGATTAACATCTGTACGGCAGACACCCAACTCTGCAGAGGTAGTTAAGTAGTAACTTTTTCTGAACTCTTACAAGCATTTCATCTATTAATGCCATACCTACAACATTTTATTTTTCAATCTACGAATACCTGATATAAATGAAGATTTACAGATAA